AGGGCATTTTTATAATACATGGTAGTATGTTTAGTGACAAAAAATGCTGTTCAGTGCAGCCATAGCCTGCATCGAAATGTCTCACGCTAGTTTTCCAGCCCTTTTTTATGAACTGAACTTCTCAGGGGTAGGGAGTAGGGCTACTGCAGGGAGTCGGTGGTTCCAGTGGTAAACCATTCTAGGAAAAAATGAGAATTTATTATAGTCTGAGGTTGCTGTAAATAACTTATAACATAAGTGATGTTCATGTTGTTGTTGTTAATCTTCACCGCCTATATAGGCAAACCTCTGTGTAGTCAACTGAGTGTAACGAATAATCCTCCGCTGAATATCACTACCTATGTACAGCCCCACTTATATTCACAGTTACTCCCACACAGTAGATATATCATATACAATCTATGTACACTGATAATGGAATAATATACTTATGTATGTTGATTACAATATCACTGCTCCTTATCCTCTTAGGCTTGAGCAACAGCAACAACTTGTATGAAGGTAAGTAAGGCGTCGGAAATGATATTCAAGTTTGTGTAGATTTTCTGGCTTAATTCTCGGCATATTTGTGCAGTCTAGAATAATTCCAATTTGTTGTTTTGTAGAAAGGTCATTTAAGTTTTCTCCAGTTAATATTGTGTACTCTTTTATAATTTCACACAGTACTAATTTATGCTGGGGTTCAAGGATTTCACAGTTAAATAATTATATAGGAAATGTTCAATATCGTCTGATTCTCTTTTGTATAGCTGACACATTGGGTTCACTGTATTTTGATTAAATTCTGCTCTATTACTTTGTAGTATATATGTTGATGTAAGTAGCTTTAACTTGATAGGAAGTCTATTTATTTCACAAAAAGAGTTAACTTTTGATATTTTGGAGAAGAGTGTCAAATAATTATGTTTCTATGGGGATAGCAACCAGACCATGGTGAATTTTATAGAAAAGGGATTACCTAGCATCTATACATCTGGGTTCGAGTTTTTTAAGCTTAAGGCTATCTATCTTCCATTAATGTCAAACCCCTTGCGGGGATGTAGATGGGTCAATCTAAAATGCAGATTTTCATGCAGACAATATTGGCCTGTGCCGACATAGACATGACTATAGACTAGTCACTACAGAGAAAGCTATGAGACAAGGGAATCTGGGAACAAATCCCTAGCTCTTATTGAATAGACCCCTTGGTTCTTTTACATGTCCAGTGTATAGCACTGATACATGCGAGGAATACCTGGATTTCTTACCAGTACACCTCTAGTTAGGTGGGAAACACTGAAAATGTCTCTGAAAAATCCCAAGGGTGTTACACAGGATCGAACCCAGGACCTCAAGAGTGAGTGTTCTAAGCAACTAAGCTATTGCGCCACCCTAAATACTCTTAATTTGAAAAAACCTTGTCCAAAGTTATCATATTTTAAACAAATATATTCCCAATTCCAATTTTGTTTTAATCTAATTGATAAATCTGTCACAGAATGAGAAAAATATCCTGCCTCAAGCTTTTGGACTTAACTAAACTTGACCCTCATTCATAAAAGACCTAGACCTTCAAGGTCAAATATTTGAATTTTGCTTGATAATTGCTAATTTTGTTTTTTATGAATGGATTGTCTTCATACTTGGTCACAATTGTCCATAGGACAAGACCTTTTTGTAGACTAAATTGATTATGACCTTTAATATCAATGGCCTTGATATTGAAGGTAATTTTTTTGACTTTGGGTTGTTGTTTTTTTTTTTTTGCTATAATTACTTATAATTTGTTATTTATGAATGCTATGTCTTGATACTTAAGTGCATCTACCTTAAGGACATCTACCTTAAGGACAATTTCTTTAAATAGATCAAACCAAATTTGACCTTGACAAGTAAATGAATTTGACCTTGAAGGTTAAATTATTGTAATTACACAATTTTATTTTGCTATAATTAGCTGTAAGTTTGCAAGTAAGAAATGAATTGTCTTCATGCTTTGGCACAGCAGTCTGTTGAACAAGATAAAAAAGAAGATTTAATTGAACATGACAGTGTTGACACAGAATGTCAAATTAGTGCATTTCTGAACAATGATCTGTATCTTTGTTATGTATATGTGGATTTGATGTATACTTGGGCAAAAGAGCACAAATAATAAAACTTATATGTGAAGTAATTGATATATGGGCTTTATCTGACCTTGACTGTCAAGGGAAAATATTGAATTTAATAGCTTAAATAGTCATAACTTTGTTATTTATTTACGAATTTGGTTTATACATAGAAAAAAGTACATTATACCATTACAACCTGAAACAGACATGTTGAATTATTCTGATATGACCTTGACCTTTAATTAAACTGTACTATCAAGGTCAAATTATTTGAATTGTTATAACTTTGTTATTTATTTATGGATTTGGTTCATTTTTGGACAAAAGAACACTTATGACATAGCTGACAATGATATAATTCAAATTTGACCTTGACCTTTGAATGACCTTCACCATCAAGGTCAAATATGACATTTGAATTATAATTTGTGCAAGACAGTAATGTTTTCTAGGAGTATATTTTACTACAATATTCTTTCTTCAGTGTGTTTGACTTTAGATAAAGTTAGAAAAAGTTGAGTGTGGTCTCAGTGTCTGGTGGTGACTTCATTGCTAACTTTGAATTTTAATAGATGAGACATTACACTGCATGCAGTGCTCTAATGGTAACTATTAACTATTTTATATAAAAAATATGTAATAAGACAACAAATGACAGTTTTTAAATATTTGTGATTTTAAATGAAAATCAAAGTCACCAGTTTTTATATTCATTTGAATTGATCAAGATGTACTGTAAGTTCTTTATTACGTCTAAATTGAATATCTTAGAAATATCATATATGTTTTTCTTTATTTTACAGTTGGTCATACACTGTTGTCAATCAATGGTATCCCTGCAGAGGGAAAGTACCTACAAGATGGAAGAGATATACTGGAGGTTCTATCTGCCGAGGAAAACTTTCCTATCAGTATTAAGTTTGGAAGACCAAAGTTAACAACCAACGAGAGGATTATGTTAGCTAGCATGTTTCATTCGTAAGTTAAAGTATATTATTTATTTTTTATCATAAATAATGTTGAACTATTGTTTTGGTAAAACGCTAAGTGACATCATCAATGTAAAAGCCCAATGCAGATTTTCAAGCATTACAGGTAAAGGAAGAACTTTATGAGCTCTCATGCATTATCATAATTATGTTAATTTTCACACCTGAGAAGAATTACCAACCTTCTGTAAGCAAGTTGTATAGTTTCCTCACATTTAATAGATCAAAGTCCCTGGCAGGATTAGAACCCGTTGCAGTGAAGGGCAAAGTAAAAAATATTTTTATAAAACTTGAAATATGGCAGTATGGAGATTATGTATAATATTTTATAAATTGGATAGATGGTAGTATGGAGATTATGTATAATATTTTATAAATTAGATAGATGGTAGTATGGAGATCATGTATAATATTTTATAAATTGGATAGATGGTAGTATGGAGATTATGTATAATATTTTATAAATTGGATAGATGGTAGTATGGAGATTATGTATAATATTTTATAAATTAGATAGATGGTAGTATGGAGATTATGTATAATATTTTTTTCAAATTGGATAGATGGTAGTATGGAGATTATGTATAATATTTTTTTCAAATTGGATAGATGGTAGTATGGAGATTATGTATATTTTAAAAATTGGATAGATGGTAGTATCAATATAATGTATAATATTTTATAAATTGGATAGATGGTAGTATGGAGATTATGTATAATATTTTATAAATACGATCTATAGATGGAAGTATGGAGATTATGTTTATTGACTAAATTGAGAGCTGTTCTACTCTGACCAAGCATCAGCAACCTCTTAAAATTTACTGATTCAACTTTTTACAGTTTTTCACTAAGTTCTTTATTTCTTAAGGTATTCAGTTCAAACTACAAATATATGAACTTAGATTTTTTTCCCTAGAATTTATTATTTTTTACTCAAACTTGTTCATTTCTTATAGGATTAACTTCAAACTCCCACATCATAATAATTTGACAAGGGTTTTAAATCTAGCATCCATATTATCCAGAATGATGTTCATCTTAAACTTTGAATTGTTCTTAATATTCATTCTCTAACTCCCTTTTTTTCTTCATAGATTTTAACTTTAAACTAGATATCTACATTCAGTCTCAACACCTACATCATAAATAAAAATTATGTGATTAGATTTAAGTCAAGTGCCTCAGGGTTCCAATAATTATTTTCATTTTGAACAAGATATTTATTTGAAAATTGTTATTTTTTCACTTCTCTTGTTTGTGACTATAAATGGTGTCTTCTTTAAACTTAAGATATTTGTTCTCTTGTTACACTCACATCATGTATGACAATATTTTTTTTTATGCTCCCTGAAAAATTTCGGGGGAGCATGTAGTCGCCGCCTTGTCCATCTGTCCATCCGTCTTTCCATCTTTCCGCACTCACAGGACAGTAATTATGTGGCTAGAGGGACAATAGGTAACTGTTCTCTCTCTTTGATGTCATTCATTTCGTAATGCTTTTATGTGGCTATTTTCTTTTGTGTGGCTAAAAAGAACAATAGAGAGAACAATAGAGTAGCCACATTATTACTCTCCTGTTAGAACGTCTGTCCGTCCACTTTTCTTGTCCGGGACATAACTTTGAAACAAAAAGAGGTATCAACATGAAACTTTGTAGGTAGATAGATCTCATTGAGTAGACCGTAAACCGTAACTCTGCCTTGCCTAATTTCAGAATTATTCCCCTTTGTTTATTTTATACTTTGAACTTTGTTGGGGACATTACTCTAAAACTATAAGAGGTAACAACATGAAACTTTGTTGGTAGATAGATCTCATTGAGTAGGTGTGCAGTGCAAAAGAACCGTAACTCTACCTTGCCTTATTTCAGAATTATCCCCCTTTGTTTATTTTACACTTTGAACTTTGTCCGGGACATAACTCTAAAACTATAAGAGGTATCAACATGAAATTTGTAGTAGATAGATCTCATTGAGTAGGTGTGCAGTGCACAAAACCGTAATTCTGCCTTGCCTACTTTTTGAATTACCCCCCCCCCCCCCCCCCCCCCCCCTTTGTTTATTTTACACTTTGAACTTTGTCCGGGACATAACTCTAAAACTATAAGAGGTATCAACATGAAACTTTGTAGGTAGATAGATCTCATTGAGTAGAAGTGCAGTGCACTAGAACCGCAACTCTGCCTTGCCTAATTTTTTAATTATCCCCCTTTGTTTATTTTACACTTTGAACTTTGTCCGGGACCTAACTCTTAAACTATAAGAGGTATCAACATGAAACTTTGATGGAAGATAGATCTCATTGAGTAGGTGTGCAGTGCTCAAGAACCGTAACTTTGCCTTGCCTAATTTTTGAATTATTCCCCTTTGTTTATTTTTACTTTTTGAACTTTGTCCAGAACATAACTCTAAAACTATTAGAGGTATCAACATGAAACTTTTTAGGTAGATAGATTTCATTGAGTAGGTGTGCAGTGCACAAGAACCGAAACTCTGCCTTGCCTAAGTTTTGAATTATTCCCCTTTATTTATTTTCACACTTTGAACTTTGTCTGGGACATAACTCTAAAACTAAAAGAGGTGTCAACATGAAACTTTGTAGGTAGATAGATCTCATTAAGTAGGTTTGCAGTGCACAAGAACCGTAACTCTGTGTTGCCTAATTTTGGAGTTATTGCCCTTTATTCATTTTGACACTTTGAACTTTGTCTGGGATATTTCTCTAAAATTATTAGAGATATCAACATGAAACTTTGTAGATAGATAGGTCTCATTGGGTAGAAGTGCAGTGCTAAAAAATCATAACTCTGCCTTGCCTTATTTTGAAGTTATTGCCCTTTGTTTACTTTTACTTTTTGACTTTTGTCCAGGACATAACTCTAAAACTATTAGAGATATCAACATGAAACTTTTTCGGTAGATAGATATCATTGGATAGAACTCCAATGCTTAAAGAACCTAAACAAAGCCTTGTTTAATTTTAGAGTAATTGCCCTTTGTTCATTCTTACACTTTGAATTTTACCCGGGACATAACTCTGAAACTATAAGAAATATCATCAGGAAACTTTATAGATAGATAGATCTCATTGAATAGAAGTGCAGTGCAAAAAAACTCCGCCTTGCCTTATTTTGAAATTTTTGCCCTTTGTTCATTTTTATACACTTTCCTGTGTCCAAAACCTTCTCGGGGAGCATCACCCGGTTCAACCGGTTCTTGTTTTAAGAGTTATCTCCCCTTTGGTTTAAGAATTTTGATCTAAAAATGTTAAAATCTTGTAACAATCAGGGATGTTTAAAGATTTATTCTCAGTGTTTGTCTGTCTGAACTGTTCCAACAAATTTACTTAAATTAAAATAGAGAAAAGTTGAAATATTGGTTATACATACTCCTCCTGAGAAAATTTGATCTTTTGATTATCATTCTGTTGTACAAACATAATTTCCTAACTTAAGGCAGGGAAACTATTCACGATACAGATAAACTAAGAACTCGAATGTTTTAAGTTCATTCATTCATGCCATGTCATGTCATTCATTCATTCATGCCATGTCAATTATGCCATGTCATGTCATTCATTCATTCACCCATCCATCATTCATTCATTCATTCAATCAATGGAATAATTGAATGGGCAATGGCCTTCAGAATGTTGCTGGGATTCTAACTGGTAGGGGCTTTTATAATGTACTGTTTGCAATACTATGATAATTGCTTGTTCTTTTAGGCTTAAGATATTTGTGAATTTTAAACAGTTGTGAGACAGAAAAAAACATGTTCTATTTTTAGATTATTTGCAATTGGTTCCCAGCTTTCTCCAGAACAGAGGTCTTCTGGGATAGAGTCTTTGGAAACAGATTCATTTAAACTTCATTGTATGCAGACTATGACAGGTATGTCTTATCTTGTCAAGTGACAAGATACATATTTAGGAAATAGATCAATTTTGAGTGTGTTGTTGTGGAATTATGCACTTTTTGAATTGAAATGTAAAACAAGCTTGAAGACTAGTAGGCTTGACTTGAGTGATGAATTACAAAGCATTTGAATGATAAACCATGCATTATTGCACCACAAGGCAAGAATGATTGATACCTGATTTGATCCTAAGACGCTTATAGTAAAAGGAGAAGTAATTTTCATGATATCAATTGGTTTATTGGCTTCACATCTGACATCACATGACTTGAAAAGCATTCCTTTCTACATGGTGTGCAGATATGTTGTGTTACGTTATGCACTTGACATTTATGCACTGGTATGTTAAAGAAGGGAGAATGACTTTGTGTGAATATTGAAAGAATGTATTGTAGAAGATTACCATTTTAGCCACTTCACGACAAAACCAACATAGTGCGTTTGTGACCAGCTTGGATCCAGACCAGTCTGATCAGGATCCATGCTGTTGGCTAACCAATCCTATTACAAGAAGAGAAACTGATAGCCCTGATCAGACTGTGCAGATGCGCAGGCTGGTCTGAATCCGTGCTGGTCGCAAACCCATTATGTTGGTTTTGTCATGACGTGGCTCATTTGTTAGCCTTCTGTTGATATATCCAGCTCCTGACAGCTTATGATTTTTGTGTCGCCTCTACGGAGTAGTGGCGACATATAGGGATCACTTCTCCGTCGTCTGTCTGTCCGTCTGTCCGCACTACCGAATAGGGATAGGGGGCCATCTAACTGTAAACAGAACAAAAGAGAACAATAGAGTTCATTCCGTAACAATAGAGTAAGGGGCCATTGGCCCTTTAATAAACAATAGAAAATAACAAAAGAAATGGCCCCTTATTCCATTTCGGCCGGACGTCCGTCTGTCTGTCCGTCTGTCCGTCACAAAACTTGTCCGGACTACTCCTCATAAACTACTGGTGCAATTTCATCCAAACTTTACAGGAATGATCAGTACCAAGTCTAGTTGTGCATATTGTCAGCTTTTTCCGGTTCAATGATTTTTGGCAGAGTTATGGCCCTTTAATAATTTTTAATTTTAAAGTTTGTCCGGACTACTTCTCTTATACCACTAAAGCAATTTCAATGAAACTTTACAGGATTGATCTGTAGCTCAAGTCCTTGCGCATATTGCAAGGGTTTTCCGGTTGAATGATTTTTTGCCGAGTTATGGCCCTTTGTTAAAAAAGGTGTATTTTTCTGTATGTTGCCAGATACACAAAAATTTGTCCGGACTACTCCTCATAAACTACTGGTGCAATTTCATCTAAACTTTACAGGAATGATCAGTACCAAGGGTAGTTGTGCATATTATCAGCATTTTCCGGTTCAATGATTTTTGTCAGAGTTATGGCCCTTTAATAATTTTTATTTTTAAAGTTTGTCCGGACTACTTCTCTTATACCACTAATGCAATTTCAATGAAACTTTACAGGAAAGATTTGTAGCTCAAGTCCTTGCGCATATTGCAGGGGTTTTCCGGTCGAATGATTTTTGGCCAAGTTATGGCCCTTTGATAAAAAAGTGTTTTTTTCTGTATGTTGCCAGATACACAAAAGTTTGTCCGGACTACTCCTCATAAACTACTGGTGCAATTTCATTCAAACTTTACAGGAATGATCAGTACCAAGGGTAGTTGTGCATATTATCAGCATTTTCCGGTTCAATGATTTTTAGCTCACCTGTCACAAAGTGACAGGGTGAGCTTTTGTGATCGCTTTTCGTTCTGCGTCCGTCCGTCCGTCCATCGTGTGTCCGTCCGTAAACTTTTACTTTAAATGACATCTCCTCATTAACCACTAAGCCAATTTCATCCAAACTTCACAGGAATGTTCCTTTGGTAGTCACCTTTAAAAAATGTTCAAAGAATTTAATTTCATGCAGAATTCTGGTTGCCATGGCAACCGAAAGAAAAAACTTTAAATATCTTCTTTTAAAAAACCATAAGAGCTAGAGCTTAGATATTTGGCATGAAACATCTCCTAGTGAGTGTCAACCAAGTTTGTTCAAATAAAAGCCCTGGGGTCAAAATTGGCCCCGCCCCGGGGGGTCATTGATTTTCCCTATATGCATATAGTAAAAACTTTAAAAATCTTCTTTTAAAGAACTCAAAGAGCTGTGGCTAAGATATTGAGCATCAAACATGTTCTAATAGGTGTCTACCAAGTTTGTTTAAATAAAAGCCCTGGGGTCAAAATTGGCCCCGCCCCAGGGGGTCATTGATTTTCCCTATATGCATATAGTAAAAACTTAAAAAATCTTCTTTTAAAGAACCAAAAGAGTTAGAGCTAAGATTTTTAGCATGAAACATGTTCTAATAAGTGTCTACCAAGTTTGTTCAAATAAAAGCCCTGGGGTCAAAATTGGCCCGTCCCGGGGGGGTCATTGATTTTCCCTATATGCATATAGTAAAAACTTAAAAAATCTTCTTTTAAAGAAATCAAAGAGCTGTGGCTAAGATATTGAGCATCAAACATGTTCTAATAGGTGTCTACCAAGTTTGTTTAAATAAAAGCCCTGGGGTCAAAATTGGCCCCGCCCCAGGGGGTCATTGATTTTCCCTATATGCATATAGTAAAAACTTAAAAAATCTTCTTTTAAAGAACCAAAAGAGTTAGAGCTAAGATTTTTAGCATGAAACATGTTCTAATAAGTGTCTACCAAGTTTGTTCAAATAAAAGCCCTGGGGTCAAAATTGGCCCCGCCCCGGGGGGGTCATTGATTTTCCCTATATGCATAAAGTAAAAACTTAAAAAATCTTCTTTTAAAGAACCAAAAGAGCTAGAGCTAAGATATTTAGCATGAAATATGTTTTAATGGGTGTCTTCCAAGTTTGTTCAAATAAAAGCCCTGGGGTCAAAATTGGACCCACCCCGGGGGGTCATTGATTTTCCCTATATGCATATAGTAAAAACTTTAAAAATCTTCTTTTAAAGAACTCAAAGAGCTATGGCTAAGATATTTAGCATCAAACATGTTCTAATAGGTGTCTACCAAGTTTGTTCAAATAAAAGCCCTGGGGTCAAAATTGGCCCCGCCCCAGGGGGTCATTGATTTTCCCTATATGCATATAGTAAAAACTTAAAAAAATCTTCTTTTAAAGAACCAAAAGAGTTAGAGCTAAGATATTTAGCATGAAACATGTTCTAATAAGTGTCTACCAAGTTTGTTCAAATAAAAGCCCTGGGGTCAAAATTGGCCCCGCCCCAGGGGGTCATTGATCATTGGGGGGGGGGGCCTATATACAGGTGAGCATCCTCAGGGCCATCATGGCCCTCTTGTTGTCAGAGTTATGGCCCTTTAATAATTTTTAATTTTAAAGTTTGTCCGGACTACTTCTCTTATACCACTAAAGCAATTTCAATGAAACTTTACAGGATTGATCTGTGAACAAGTCCTTGCACATATTGCACGGGTTTTCCGGTTGAATGATTTTCGGCCAAGTTATGGCCCTTTGATAAAAAGGTGTTTTTTCTGTGTGTTGCCAGATACGCAAAAGCTTGTCCGGACTACTCCTCATAAACTACTGGTGCAATTTTATCCAAACTTTACAGGAATGATCAGTAAGGCCCCCACGATTACACGTTTAAACAGATTTGTTTCGATTTTCATTCATAAACGTTTACGATATTGTTTACTGTTTAATCGAAATGACCATATTGGCTTACAAAATTTCTTAATCATTGCCTGTAATCATGGATTTTATCAATTCTAGAGGTTAATTCCAAACTAAACAAACGGAAAATGGGTGTTTACAACCCTCCACACAGCATTACCGTGCAAAATTTCTCGTGACATAATGCATTTTTGGTAAAAAATGGGGTTACAATGCAAAAAATGTGTGCTGACTCAATCGTGATGAGCCTTGCACATTCTTTATTTGTACATGTATTAAAAATAGAAAGAAAGACATCATTTGGCGACTCAAATACATGGTGTAGGTACCACCGTTTAAACGGTATCGTTTCGGTTCTTAGCAGTCGTGTAAATGTTTACAAAAAATTGTAAACGTGGGAGCCTTAATGATCAGTACCAAGTCTAATTGTGCACTGCCCGTCTGTCTGTCCGTCTGTCACAAACTTTGTCCCAACATGAAATTGGCCATCATGAGGCGACACATGTGATTACTGATCGCTCTTGTTTTCATAGAAATTTCTTGTTTTGGACAATATTGTGATATATTCCATCTACTTCTATAATTCTTTGTTTGCATAGTATGGATCATAAAATATGAGTATTTGTATAAATGTAGTAATTGTACTTCATATACAATTGCTAATAGTGTTAGTTTACTCCATAAACTTTGAAATAATGTTTGTTTACATCATAAAACATTCATGTTGACATTGTTTAAAACATATAAACTTTGTTATTAGCTTTTATTATCCCCTGCCGAAATCTTTTAGCTCCATTAGGTGAGGTTGTTGTGACTGTTGCTTTAAGTTTGTAATGCCCGAGGTAAGCCAAAATCGTCTTTCCTGTTTTAAGTTGCCATATGACCTATACAGTATTTGTGCACTGTAAAACCAAACAAACCATAAAGATTTAGCACCTTTATACCATCATAAACATTATTATTACCATTCTTTTCTAAATGATAAATATTGCTATTACATTTGTTTACATCATAAATTTTGTTTTTACATAATGTATTTTGCTGAAGAAGGAACTTATGGGTTGCTTTATTGTTTCAGGATTAAAGTTTATTGTTATATCTGATCCGAGACAAGCTGCTGTAGATATTTTATTGAAGAAATTATATGAAGTTTATGCTGATTTTGCTTTGAAGAATCCATTCTACTCATTGGATATGCCTATAAGGTAACCAAATTGTTTTTAGCTCACCTGAGCTTGCTCAGGGTGAGCTTTTAGGATCGGTGAATGTCCGTCGTCCGTCGTCCGTCCGGCCGTCCACAATTGCTTGTGAACACTCTAGCGGTCGCATTTTTTCCTCAATCATCATCAAACTTGGTCAGTATGCTTATCTAGTTGAAAGCTCGGATGAGTTCGAACATGGGTCATCTCGGATGAAAAACTAGGTCACAAGAGCTAAAAATAGAAAAACCTTGTGAACACTCTAGAGGTCACATTTTTGACCCAATCATCATCAAACTTGGTCAGGATGTTTGTCTAGGTGATAGCTCAGATGAGTTCGAACATGGGTCATCTCGGATGAAAAAGTAGGTCACAGGAGCTATAAATAGAAAAACCTTGTGAACACTCTAGTGGTCACATTTTTTTAACCAATCATCATCAAACTTGGTCAGAATGCTTGTCTAGTCAATTGCTTGGATGAGTTCGAACATGGGTCATCTCTGATGAAAAAAACTAGGTCACAGGAGCTAAAAATAGAAAAACCTTTTGAACACTCTAGTGGTCACATTTTTGACCCAATCATCATCAAACTTTGTCAGGATGCTTGTTTAGATAATAGCTCAGATGAGTTCGAATATGGGTCATCTCGGATGAAAAACTAGGTCACCGGAGCTATAAATAGAAAAAACCTTGTTAACACTCTAGCGGTCACATTTTTTGCATCAATCATCATCAAACTTGGTCAGGATGCTTATCTAGTTGGTAGCTTGGATGAGTTCGAACATGGGTCATCTCGGATGAAAAAGTAGGTCACCAGAGCTAAAAATAGAAAAAAAACCTTGTTAACACTTTAGCGGTCACATTTTTGCATCAATCATCATCAAACTTGATCAAGATACTTGTCTAGGTGATAGCTCGGATGAGTTCGAACATGGGTCATCTCGGATGAAAAACTAGGTCACAGGAGCTAAAATAGAAAAACCTTGTTAACACTAGTGGTCACAATTTTGACTCAATTGTCATCAAACTTGGTCAGGAAACTTGTGTAGGTCATTGCTGGGAATAAATCGAACATGGGACATCTCGGATGAAAAACTAGGTCACAGGAGATAAAAAATAGAAAAATCTTGTGAACACTCTAGTGGCTACTGTTGTGATCCAAATATTCTGTTAATTGGTCTGAAAGTTTGTTTTGAAATGATTTCTAAGTCAAGATCGAACATGGGTCATCTTGGATGAAAAACTAGTTTTTCACACCGCCCAAAATATGGAAAAACCTTGTTAACATTCTAGTGGTCACATTTTTCGACTCAATTTTATCAATCAAAACTTGGTTAGGATGCTTGTCTAGGTAATTGCTTGGATGAGTTCGAAATCGCATGTGAAACTAGGTCACCGGAGCTTAAAATAGAAGAATCTTGTTAACACTCTAGTTGCTACTGTTTTGATCCCAAGTATCCTGGAAATTGGTCTGAAAGTTTGTTTTTGATGATTTCTAGGTCAAGTTTGAATATGTGTCACCTGGGGTAAAAAAACTAGGTCGCACTGCTCAAATATGGATAATCCTTGTTAACACTGTAGTGGTCACATTTTTGACTCACCTGTCATGAGACTTGGTCAGAATGCTTGTCTAGGTAATTGTTTGGATGAGTTTGATAATTCAGGTGAGCGATCTAGGGCCATCATGGCCCTCTTGTTTTATAGTGCCATCAATGTTACGGTGTTTTAACTGTAGTAAATTGGCTATAAGACTAATTGCAACTCTGATATTCAATTCAATGTTTATTTGACTTAAACAATTTGAAAAAAAATGATTTGCCTTAACTGGGATTTGAACTCCAGACCTCTTGCTTTTTAAGCAAGCGTGCAAACCCCTCAGCCACGATGAAGATATATGTTAATGGCCTGAAGAAAACCATGTTATTCTAAATTTATTATTCTGACGCTAAACCTGTTGTTTAACACAGATGTAAATAATCATGGAGCTTACTATAAGCATGTATATCTATAAAGAATAAAACAATATTAGAAATTTTCGACCATTGGGAACTATTTTGCTTGAAAATTAATGCGCCTGTCATTTGACAATCTTTACGCAGTGATCTTCCCTGAATTTTTCGAAGTTAGTGTACATATATAGGGAAGTAACTCCTTCAAAAAAGTGGACTACTTTCGGCATTTGGAATTAACAGCATCAGGGTCTGAAATATCGCTACCATTATTTGTTTGGTCTGACGACCCAAACAAATAAAAATGAAATGGGGGTGATCTATTTCCAAATATATTTGTACATTTATATTTTTAGATATAACTAAAATTTTGTGGCTTAGGATAGCTTTTTTGAAATAAATTGCCCAAATACTAGTATAAAATTTTTTCAAGTTTTAGTACCCTTTATTTAAACAATGTGCCAAAGTAGGGAAAAATATTAGATTTTTTAAATTTAGTCCCAAGGGCCTCTGTTTTCCAATTTTGTAAAATACATTTTATTTTTAATAAACATCTTCCTTTATTGACTGATATCTTACAAAGTATGTGTATTAGCACCTTTTATGGACAACTGTCATTATTTATGGTTTCAGATTAAAATTTGGGTTTAAGGTTACGAGACTTTAAAAAAAAAATTATCCCCCTTTTCCTTATTAATTTAAAACTTTTGGTTTTTGCTTTAGTTTTCATTTTAAATTTTTGATTTTAATGGGGGCTTTTATGTCTCAATATTTGAAATTTATATTTTTCATGTTTTTTTTTCAGATGTGATTTGTTTGATACAAACTTACAGTCATCAATAGAACAAGCAGAAAAATTGGGGATCAGTAATGTTTGAAGGGAAACAACTCTTGTATGAACTTAGTTACATGTAATTGAAGGCAAAGTGGACTAAAATGTCATAGTGTATTTTGTCTAGTTGTGTGATATAACATACAAGCATCATAAAAATGTTGCGCCTCCTACTGCTTTATGTTTAAAATACATTTGTTTATGTTTAATTTAATTTCATTCAAACTTTTGTACTTGGTAAATAATCATGGAATCTTAACTATGTCTAAAGTTCTTGAAACATTTTTCGGGAGAAAAAAGTGATCCATACATGTGGACTCCCCCACTTTCAAAATAAGGGTTTTTTTCACAAATTAAAGAAATCTTCCTCTTTTTCGATGTCTGAAATTTTTTTATTGCAAATCTAAAATCTCCCTCTCTTTGAAGAAAAATCTCCCACTTGATCATAGAAAAGTTCACTTGTATGGTGATCAATTTTTGAATATTTTTTGATATGGTTTTCTAAGGTGTGAGGTATAAAGAATGTGGCATGAGTTGTCTGTTTATATGAAGTTTTATTAAACAGGTTCAAGAAATTGTCATAAAGCAAGTGTTTCCAAGCTTGATAACATTTATTTCTATAAGTTTAATAGAAATTTTATATAATATGAAAGCAAAAATGAGATTCTTTTTTATAGCATGACTAAATGCATTGGAATACATAAAAATATACCTGTTTTGATGTTTTATTCACACTTTTTATGCCATTCTTTTGATGAAATATACAGGTTGAAATGATGTTATGACAATGGGTAATATAAAGACATACAATATGGCTTTATAACATGAAAAAACAAGCAATGTCATGTAATAGACAATTATCTTGAAACACTGTTAATAGATACAAGTGTGTAAAATGCTCACTTCTATTTAAAATCAGAAATCAAGCAACAGGTTTTTTTTAATTAGATGTAATAGGTTTGTTTAGATACAAAATGGAGGTTCCTTATTTTACGTAAACTGCTTGTGAGAACATGTGTAAAACCCTGGTGAATTTACATTTATGATTCTCAAATTCCAAGAATCAGTGCAAGAAACTCTGTAGAAACATAGGCTTATTTTGCTTCATAATTTTATTACATGTATGTCTTTAAAAATAATTTTTGCATTGTAAAAGTGTTAAACATGAAAACTGTTTGACACAAAATCAATCAGTGTTCTACACAGCTGTATTATCTAGTTCTTGTTTATTTCCTTATACATGTAATTTGTTGTTGTTTTTTTCGTATGACAAATTTAAGCATTTATTTCCTTATTGTCCTGTTATATTATGATAATTGAAGGACCAGGATGAATATATATATCAGATGATTGAATATGACAGTACAAAGTGTTGTAAAATGTGCAATATTGATAATGATAATAAAACACTGGAAAAAAAACAAGATTGACTGTATTATTGTCTTAATCTGAGTAAATTTCAGATTTTCTTATGTTTACATGTATGGCAGTATTATTTAGGAGGTGATTTTATTCAGTTTGTTATAGTTTTGTTAATTCTACAAATCTCTTCTTCAGATGGATGAGTTCTTACATGTATCTCTTATTCTCTTTGTTCAAAGAAGTTGGATAAAATGACTGCATTTCAGAAAATACAATGACCAATTAAAAGTTCAGAAAGATCTACTAACTGCTTTTTGAAAGAAAATAAGGAAAATTTATAAACAAAACAGGTTATTTACAGATTGAGATTTGAATCTCATTCTATTGTTTGGTATCTGCATATTTTGTATTTTCTTCTTATTTTGCCCAACTTTACAACATTAAATACATGTATATTAAATCTGCTAATGAGTTTAACTCTTACCATGTTAAATATTTTAAATGATCTTGTTCATCTTCCTATTTTGAAACATCATTTTGACCATTCATCATTTATAGTTAAAAATTAAAAAAAAAATGTACTGAAATTTTCCCTTAAATATGAAAAATGGTTTAGTCTGTATTATCATTGAAAGATGGCCAAGTCCATTTCAGAGATTCAGCATTTTGAGGGTTAAGGGCAGATTTTGGTGCATAATATAATGTACCAAAGTATTTCAGTCCTTATAATGCAGTAAAAGCCTCTGTACAGCAGCCATCTGTTGAGCAATAACCTTTTTACAACAATCAATTCTTTTATAAGTAAATGCACTAAAATAAATTTAACCCCTCTAGAGTAACACCTAAATATTTTTATTATGCCCCCGCCATGTAATGGCCGGGGCATAATAGTGTTACCCCTGTTCCGTCATTCCCCGTTCCTTTCCGTTCCCTTCCCCATTCCTTCCGTCCTTTCCGTTCATTCTGTCCATTCCGTGCATCATCAATCAGTTTTTCCCGTTCATTATCTTAAAGAACGGGTTGCCACACATTCAACTCAAAATCTTGATATATGGATATTGTCATGAGAAAAATACAGGTCAAGTTTCGAATTTGGTCCATGGTTTCGATGATTTTTGGCAGAGTTAAGTGCCCCTTTTTACTTTGAAAATAATTATTGAAATTTTCAGTTTCCGTTCATTATCTCCCAAAATGGTAACAACACATTTCAACTTCAAAACTTGACATTTATGGGATTTATTGTCATGAGAAAAATACAGGTTCAAAGTTCGAATTTGGTCATGGTTTCGATGGAATTTTTGGCAGAGTTAATGCCCCCTTTACTTTGAAAATAAATGAAATTTTTCAGTTTCCGTTCAATTATCTCTCCCAACGTACAACACAAATTCAACTCAAAAACTTGACATATGGGATATGTCATGAGAAAATACAGGTCAAGTTCGAATTTTTGGTCTTGGTTCGATGAAATTTTTTGGCAGAGTTAATGCCCCTTTTACTTTTGAAAATAATATGAAATATTCAGTTTCCGTTCATTATCTCCCCAAAAGTACCCAACACAATTTCAACTCAAACTTGACATACAGATGCGTCGAAGGAATGCGCAGGTCAAGTTTCAAATTTGGTCCATGGTTTCAATGATTTTTGGCAGCAGTTAATGCCCTTTCACTTTGAAAAGTAATATGAAAAATTTTCAGTTTCCGTTTATTTATCCTCCCCAAATGGTTAACACAACACATTAACCTCAAATTTGACATATGGATATTGTTTTTGGGGAATGCCCCAGGCCAAGTTCGAGTTTGGTCTCATGGTTCAATGAATTTTTGGCAGAGTTTTAATGCCCCTTTCCACTTTGAAAATAATATGAAAATTTACAGTTTTCTGTTCATTATCTACCAAACAGTTTTACATAATTATGCAACTTAAATTTGACATATGGATATGTCAAAGGAATGCGGCAGGTCTAAAGTTGGAAATTTGGTCATGGTTTGATGATTTTTTTTGGCAAGGAAGTTATGTCCCTTTCACTGTTTGAAAATAATATAGATACATCTTAGGGGAATTTAAGGCAGTTTTAAGTTTAATTTGGTTGTAGTTCTCAATGATTTAAAGAACAAACTTATCTTTCCTGAATGTTGGAAAAATTTTGAAACTTTCACTTTTCAGCCACTCATTATTTTGGCCTACACATATTTGCCAAGGATTCTATTTTCAAAAGGTTTTTAAGACTAATTTAATTTCAGTGCCTTTGAACATTGAATGAAAATGGTTTGTGTTAACATGAGAAGTTTTAAGGGCTTTGAACTTAAAAGAAAAAAATAATTAAAACACCATCTGAAATTTTGGCTGGCATGGGGCATTCCGTGGCAATGATGACACATTTCTAGTTGTTGCTCTGCAAGGTTTGCACCATATGCTCCATGTTAGCTTGTGGTGTTATTAGTACAAGAAACAAAATACGGATCATTAGATACAATACCCTGCTGTTCTTTTATGATCATAAAGTCTAGGTCCTTTACCCTCATTGACCATTGCTGGATAAATTTTACTTTAAAAAAATAAGCAAAAGAATTTTATTTATTAAGAACCAAAAATCGAGAACAAAGGGTGTCCCAGATTTGAATATAATTTAAAAACAAGGTTCATGTTTTATCTTAAACCTTATTGGTGTTTATTATTTTCCCCAACAGTAGGAATTATAATACTTTAAACTTTTTTGTTCTAAAATAGACCTATTTGGGGTTTTTATTACAATTTTCATAAAAATCTTTTGGGCCCCAAAAAAAAATTTTTTTTTTATACCAGTATATTTCAGTTGGAAATTTAAATTTTCGGAAAGGGCATCACTTTTAAGACCTAGAAACCCCCTTTTACTCTATTGCCTTTTTTTGTTTTTTTGGTTTGGGTATTGTTTTTAGGGCCCTTCCCCCCCATGCTTTTATGTAAACTTTACGGTTAAATTATTTTTTTATAATTAAAATTCTACGCATTAGATAAAAGACAAAGTTACTTAGATAGTTTTCAATGAATACTGAAATACTGCAAGTTTTGTATGTAATCATGTCTGTATCACCCACTGTCTATGTATTTATATTTTATGTTGTACATGTTTATGGGCCAGAGGCCTAAATACTTATCAATAAAGTCTTGAAAATCTTGACATTTTATACTAGTGTAAGTCTGTTAGTCATTTGTTTCTCACCACTGATACAAAAATCATGTGGGATTAGTTGTTGGTTACATGTTGAGAAATCATTATTTACTGGTTAGTTACCCAAGAAAGCCAGGTAGGTGGATCAACCCCTGAGATATGATCAAATGTGTTAAAATGGCATAAAAAAACAAAGTCTATGGGTACTTTCTATTACAGTTATTTGTTCACACTTGTAACTTAATCCTATGATATTGTTATTTAAAATAATTTTTATTACATCAGTCTGTGCAATCTGATAAGACTATATACTGTTTGAAGCTCCTTTTTGAATTTGAATATTGAATTCCCTGAAACATGTATTTGGACTGTACCAAATTCAAAACAGGACACATCCATTAAAACAACTCTGTAGTTAGGTTAAGGATCAACTTTCAACTCTCATCTAAGAACTTGAATGCCATATTATAAGATTATGTATATGATATTGGTCCATTTTCTAAAAATATTATAGAAAATAATCAATATTTTTCTTTAATATAAAAAAATAACTGTAAAAATAACAAGTAATTTTAATGATGTCCTAGTTTCCTTATCAGGTCATACAATAACAGTACAAAAGTAAATTTTCCATCAAGATAGAACATGAATAGTTGTAATCATTATTGTCTTATCATACTCCGGTACCAAGCAGTTTGTAGTTAGTTATAGGTTAAACAACTTGTAACAAAGTCAATTGACCGTTTTTAAGACGGACAAAAATAACAAGATAAAAAGAGGACAAACCTGTTAGATAAGATATTTAAATTAACATACTTTTGCTCGAACTTATTTTTGGTTAAGTATAATTATATATAAGAGGTGTGGTGGTGGCCTAATAGTTATGATGTCTGTCTGTCAACCCGGGAATTATGGGTTCAAGCCCTACTCCAGTCACAATCATGTTTCGACACCAGTAGGTCCAGTCCTGGTTAGTTCCAGGAGTGGCAAATAAGTTGCAAGATCTTGTTTTTCAGTCTAGCTAAAATGAATACATGTATGTTTAAACAAATTTTGTTTGTTTTGTTTTAAACAGGTCATTTCAAATGAGCTGTAGTGCTGTTGAAACAAAATTACATGATCAGGCTTTGGCATGGCAGACAGCCGTCAACTGTCAAAATGGTGGCGAGAAATGTCTGTACAGTGTAAGTTATCATAGCAACGTCTTTCAAAATAAAATACACATTGACTAGTATGAAAAGAACAAAAACAACAGGAACTGTTTTGAAGCAAGATGCCTCCAGATTCGAAGAGCTAATTTTTATGAAAATTTTGAAAATGTATTTATAAGTAAAATATTGTGAAATGAAGAAAGAAAGTAACAAACACATTGCAGATGGCAATAACAGTCCTAGTAAATCACCAAAGAGATGTCAAAATATGCCAAAAAAGCCCTTAATGCATTATAGCCACACATGCAGACAAAACAGGCTGATATATGTAGATACTGCATTGAATCATGTCAATTATTTATTATACCTTGAATCTTTTTTTCTTTTCTTAAAACCTTAGTACATTTCTCTCAAGTTTTATTTTCTTGAAATATTTTGGCTCATCTTGAAGCATGCAGCTTTAAAGATCAGCTGACCGCAATTTTCAACTATAATTCTATACACTATCATTGCTCCATATACTGTTGGCATATTCAGCACATTATGTTAAGCTTTGTCCTCATTTACATCCTGCTCCACAATATACTAAATATGTTGATAATGAAATCCACATCTTAACTTTATAGTGCAGAATAATTTAGTTCACTTATCCTGGTAATACTGAGCTACCTTTAATATGAAACCTTATAATTTAGTAACTGTAATGACAGTGATACGTATATGCTTCTACCTTTAATGTCAATGAAAATAATTATGTACATTTTAACAGCAAGCCACAAAAAAGCATTAGACAGTTTTTTTTAACTTTAGTTGTATATTTTTAGACCATGGTGTTATAAAACTTCAAGAAAACATGTATCATGGTGTTTTATCTTTGCCACAGATTTCATCAGAGACTGGCACAACCTTGAAGATTATTCATGAGACACCCGTCCACAATTACAAGGATACTGTGACCTTCACCTTCTCTCAAGGTAGCACAGCTGATTCCTGCAATGTTCATGTAAGTAAGATTATAAATTTGTCTCCTCATGAAGTGTTGTATGTACTTACTCTAATCTTTGAATGTTGAAAAATCCTTCAATTTTTTTAGGGATTTCATGATCAGAATTCTATCACTGAGCAGTCAGTTCTGACTTGAAAATGCTTTCTTCATGCTTAATTGGTCTGGCATTGATACATGTAGCATTAACAGTTAGGATAATAAATATGGTGTCTCCACAAAATTTTTAGATAATGCCAGAATATCACTATCATATCATTAACCTTTATGATATGTTCAAGTAACCCCCAGGTAGTATTTAATTACAGAACCTCTTGATAAAAATATCAAGACAGCAATTTTCGTGAGTGGCTTTTAATTGATATATCGTTGTTCTTGAGGCATTATCCTTTTTTTGATTGTAAGATTTTTACTTAATTTTAACACTTTTATGGTCATATCTCAGTACTCATTCCACCTTACCAGCTTTTAGAATTATCATTTTCTCCCAAAGTGACGAGACTTCTACTCCTTATAAAATGTTGATACCTGTCTTTGGTTTAACTTTTGTTTATTTAAATTTTCAGGGTTATTCCACCTCACAGACATGGTATGCAGTATTGGATTACAGTACTAACTATTGCAACATGAGAAATCTTCTTGAAGGTATGGTCTTTAATGCATGGTTAACTGCAGTCTTTGATTAAAATCAGTTTCCTAATTAACGCTGAAATAACTATAGTACATCTGAACTTGAGTCAAATTTGTCCTTTACATTTTGGACAGGAATTGAGATTTTAGATTTCATGCTATGTCTGTTCCAGCACTTCTGGGTCAATACAGTGGTCTTTTGGCACAAAATTAGCTAGGGATATTTCCTTCTGGCACTGCTGGGGCATTTAGTGCAAAATTTACCATCTTACTTGCAGTAATTTAGAGTTAAAGCTAAAAATATATTTAAGTAATTCAAGGGAAACTAAAATCTTGATGCATGTCTTGAGCAATATGTAGAATGACTTACTTCTTTTTATTTCATACAATTTATGTATTATGTATATATCCTAATATCATCCTACATAAATCAGTTATTCATAAGGTGGATAAATTGTATACATAATGCTGTAGTACTTAGTAATAACAGTCTTATAAATTTAATTTTATTGTTTCAGGTTCAAATCTTCACACCAGTACTGGGTTCACTGAGACAACAGATGATAGTATCTGCACACAATACTCCAAGAGAAATTGTGACAAATACTAAACTTCTTATATTTATTACTAGTTAATAAACATAATTAAACTATATAAATACAAATTTGAGTTTCCTTTTGTTAAAAAACCCTTACTATACTGACTATCTTGATTTGACAATCTTTCAATTAGAACAAAACAATACCATTCAATGTTTTAAAAGAAGAAAGAAATACATTTTTCCTTCTTTAGAAAGGTTAACACAAGTTATACAGCAATTAAATAATGGTATTAGAGCATGTAAGAGGCTTATCACCTCAAGAAAGTAGAGCGGAAAATGAAATTATTTGTTATGAAGGTAGCAACTTGTAAACAAAGTAAGTATTTTAGCTTCCATACAAAATCACTATAAGTGTACTGATAGCCAAAAAGCAACAGGAGCAAATGATGGTTGACAAAATTGGTTAATAAGATACCCAAAATAAAAAACTTTTCAGAAATAAAAAAAGCTTTTCTAAGGCATAATGGGCCTTTAAAGGAAAAGATGGCAAATAACCTTGGCATGCTCCTATTATGTAAAGCAGCTTTGCTCCTCTTTAAAGGGAAACTGGGGCAAATTAATAACAAAAAATTAAAATGATTTTATGTACTCAAATCACTCTAAAATGACATTTTTTAAAGTACAAGCATGAATTTCTGTATAAATTCTATATATTTTGGGTTTGAAGATAAATGTTGAATGAAATTTAGACCCCCACAGAATCATCGAGTGGTTTTAAAACAAATCATGTTACTTTAGCAAAACCTGGAAGTTACATTACAGATATTATGGATATGTAACAAGTGTAAGTTATTCATTTGACATGTACTTTATCGTTTACAGAATTCACTGTGACAACTATTGTGAAATCTTAATGCTCTAACCTGACCAAAGTTGGTCAAGTTAGGAAACCACTATTCTAATCTGTATAATGCGAACAATTTTGTTCCTGTGACAGTCTAGTGTTTTAATTTTGAGGACATTTACAGAATAATGAATGAAAAATTCGAAACTAAGAAATGAAAATGTTGCCCGTGTCTCCCTTTAAAACTAAATGGTAAAAGTTGGTAGCTTTCACAGCTCTGTTAAAAACACAAAACAAAATTGAATGATTTTTTTTTTGCTTTTTATTTTTCACATTTACACATTATTGCACAAATTTAAATACATGTATATGTACTAAAAACAGTTGTATTTATTCAATTATACATTCAATGGAAATGCTTTTTGGTCTTTCACTTCTCAACAATATTCAACATTGTATAACATAAATTACCACATGATGAATGTAATTGGTACCTTTAACATATATGATAGTATATAATAAGTGTATCATGATTATTTTCTAACTTTTGCTCTAATTTTTGCTTTTGGATTTGAAATAACATCATAAATATGTTAAAATGGTGACACAATGGCGAGTGGTGGTATAAATTAATGCATTATATCAGTTATCTAAATCTGAGAATCAAGAAATATCTGGAATTCAATAAATGTAAAATTTCTTTTTTTATGTTTTTTTTCTTCAATTTTACTGATATCACATTATGACATAAATTCCCTTTTTCTCCAAAGGAAAGTTTTTAAATATTGTAATACTAATTCAATGGTCAAACTTAAATATAATTTAAATAAAATCTTATTCTACAATGAAAAATGTATTAACAATTCTGTGCCAGATTCAAATACACCACCATACTATACCCTTCTTGAAGCAAGTAAACCAATGCCATACCATTAGCATTTCTTTAGGGCATTATAGCCCTCTGAATGTAAGCAGGAAATGACTGGCCTATGCCACAGAATACTGCCACGCCTTTGAGTCAAGCCAATCTGTGCAATCAGACTCTATACCGTCAACTGCTTAATCTCAGCATTTTGATATTTCAAACCTTTAAACAAAGCTTTTTTAGGTTGCACAAATCAAGCAGGGTAAAGGTCAAGGAGGTGCATTGTAAGAACAGAATATCTGTGAGAATTGCTATTGCTGTTTAAAACGTAATGGCACAATAAAATAACCACATTAAATACAACAATTACTGAGACCTCTGTATCACGATATTGGAATGCTTGTTTAGAATGGATCTGCCGGGAATTTGATAGATGGACTTAGATCACTAAAATATCCATGATGTAAACCCTCCTCTGCTGACAGTCTTCCATTCGGGTTACACACTAACAATCTCTGAATAAAACAAATATATATATGTATGTTACAATAAATAAAAGTAAAAATAATAAAGATAAAATAATAGGTATGTTTCGCAATTTGTTCTGATTTCGTTTTTCTGTAAAACAACATCATTTTGGAGCAATATTTTTACCAATAAGAACAGGTTGTTATACATAAAAATTCTGAGTCTAAATCACAATCAGTACAAATTTATTCTACAAGTTACCGCAAACCTTTCCACGTAATATTTTTCAATGACAGAGGAGAAATAGAATTAACCCTTACCACTTTTAATTATTCTTTAATGGACTTGTCTGTCTTTCTATCTTGACAATGCCATTCATCATTTTTAGAGAAAATTCAAAATAAAAACTGACTGAATAGAGAACAGTGTAGACCATGATTAGATAGCACAAATTTGCAGGCTCATGTTGGTCTGCACTGGTTGCATGAGTATATTCAGTTGGCTAAGTGTTGAATACATTGTCTTCAAACAAGTCATCTCACAAAAACCTGTGGTTAAGACTTGAATTCTGTACTGATTACTTATCAAGTTGGAAACTATAAATTGTTATCCTTTCATTGTCACTTTGTGGCTTTCTCATCTAATAATATAGCTCATTGCTTTCTAAAATAGCTGAATGTGAGGCTTCAATTTTAAAACATTTTTACAAAGACTGGCACATGTAAAACAAATATAGATACCTGTAGCAAATCCCTGCCCTTGATGTTTAGTCTTGGTACCACTTGTTGCCATGTTGTACTTACATGATACATCGGATATTGCTGTAATTAACATGAATCAATAATAAAAATAGGAATTAAACAAAGTATCACTCACAAGGATAATCAAGAGAAAAATACTACATTATTTATGGCATCAAATGAAATCGGTGCACATACTGCATAATAAATTCCTCATTGTCGGTGTGTTTTTAAGCTGTTTTTTTAAAACATTTTTGGTCACATCCCAGCAGTCAGTCCACCTTTCTGGCATTCCTGGATAACTAAATAGTTATTACTAATTTCTTCAAAAATGACCAGTTACTAATTCCATGTGAATCTGCCTGACAGACAAATCAACACAGGACTCCGTGTCCGTGATCTGACAATGAAACATTCAGTTACACTGAAATCTGAGTAAATGTAATGTATAAAGGTAATGTACGTACTCAAGGACCAGTAATATAGAAGAACAAACAGAAACAAAATCAATATGATTATGCTTCATTTATTTTTTTTTACCGTAATTGTCATTTTGACCACAGAAAATCCACTCTTGTCATTTTAGTCATATATAATAAATTGGCTTCTTTTTCTATTCTGATATTGGAATCTCTAACATGTCATATAAGCCATTTCTAGTTCAAAGCAAAACATTCTATTTATAATTATAATATAATTTTTAGGAGGGCTCTAGATTAAAATTAAGTAAGAAATGATTTTGTTTCGTTTCTGATTTTACGTCACATGAAACAATAAAGGTCACACAAAAGAATCCAAATTCTACAAAAGGGATCAGAAGCCACAGCACAGTGAGGTCAAGTGAGAATCTTGCCACAAATTTCTGACATTTAAAACATTGTACATAGATCACCAATGTGAGATTTACTAAATCTAAAACTAGAAATAACAAAACCTTTTTCTATAACCCAGTTTTTGATACTTAAAATTGCCATGGTAAGATATACTGATTCAGACAAAAAAAATAAGATAATCTTACTTTATAATCTGGAAGGTGGGTAATGTTGGGCCAACTGTCTTCTGTAGGTGTTCCCAGTAACCTGGTTGTGGTTAAAGTGTGAATAATCTATTGTTTGTCTGGTTTTTATGCTGACTTTAACAAAGTTTTGGTACTTTTATGGACAATTTACCACATATTACCAATTTCTATGGCTACCAACTTCTAATGCCATATGATTTCTCATTCAGCGGTGAGAGACAAACGATCATGAGAATCAATGTCCAAGATGAATTATCATGCAGAAATTTTGCCTTGTTCGAGGACTGAGAAAGTGACACTCTGATTACAAATCTATTTTTTACTCTACATATTTAGCTATGCGATAGTAAGACTATTCTCTCCCTTACCAGTTCCTCCCTGACGGTTCTCTCCCATTTTTGGGGGGAACTGTCTGCCTATTTGCAAATAAGCAGACAGTTCCTCCCCATTTTTATTATGATTAATACATTATTATTGAAGTATTTAAATGTTTAATAAATGGGTAAGTTTATTATAAATTGATATAAATTAGAGAAATAAATGTTTTATTAAAGTATTTAGATGTTTAATACATGGGTAAGTTTATGATCAATGATAAAGATTAGAAAAAAATATTTTTAGCACATTAGTTTATTATTCTGATTTTTTAATAGATCTAATTTATGTTTAGTCATTGAAAATAATTAATGAATTATTTACTTGAAAATGTGTTAATTAAATTTACAAAAAAAAATCAGATAAACATAAAACATAAAGTGCATTTAATTAAAAACACATTCTTTTTAAAAATCTTCATTAAGAAATATTATTAGATTAAGTCAAAACTAAAACGATAACTTATAAAAATTGGGGGAGAACTGTCTGCATATTTCAAATTTGGGAGAGAACCGTCGAGGGAGAAAACCGATTGGGGGATAACCGTCAGGGAGAGGAACTGGTAAGGGAGAGAATAGTCTGTCATTCAGCTATGAAAGCAAATCTTTCATTTCACATGAAAAATTCTTGATACTATACTCAAATATATGTAAAATTCTATAATTAGTGAATGTGCAACAACATTTATGTTTTTAGACACAATTAACTAATATGTGATAAACGATGTAACATCAGTATAAAGCATGGTAAGACAACAAGGTCATACAGGCCAGCCTGGCCCTCTATTGCTGGCAAAGGCTAAGTACTTACAATATAGCCAGGTTAAGGGGTAATAAATATTTCATAGATTCAAGGATACTTAAATATTCTTTTTAGCTGGTCCTCTACATCATTTCCTGGAAACAGTGGTCTTCCAGCATTTGCCATTTCTACAACAATAACATAACTGTTTAAATTATTTCAAAATTCCAAAATTATTTCTACAACTACAAAACTATCAGTAATTTTATAAAATATTCCAAGATTATTTCAAATCATGTTTTTCTTTTCTTTTTTTATTTTTGTTGTTGCTTTTTTTGATAATCTTGTACTTTTCAAGATTTGTTGTCTTATTGAAATCTCTTGATGTAAATAAAAGCATCTCTATAATAAACACAAGTGTTATAACTAAAGTGTCAAGTTAAGGACTGGTGTTCAAGGTTAGAACACCTTAGAGCAGTAACGTAAGAAGTGCTTCTAAATTTAACTGCAGTTATTCAGTTCTTGCACTAAGGTGACGTTATTATTATTAACATAAGGCAATAAAATTCATATTTCAGATAAAAAAAAATATGATGCAAAATAAAATTTGTTTTGATCTGAAACAAAATGAGATTGCTTTTGTCTATTTTTGATACAAAATGAGATAAAATTTGTTATTCAACAATTTGCTGGGAATTTATAAATTATATTAAATTCATCATTATGTAAGTAAGTAATACATCAATATATAAATATTACATCAATAAAATACGAGCCTTGACTTTCACAAGGTTATATAGATCTGTTATATCCCTATTTTTCTATACCAACTTTAACATCAACATTTCAGGAAAGCTTCCTATTTCATTTAACAGTATCTTTACCGTTCTTCCTTCTATTAGTAATTCCACATACCAAAAGTATATGAATGCATTAAAAAGTACTGAAAATCATATTTTTGTATTTTCTGGTTTTTTTTTCTTTTCTTTTTTCCCCCCACTGGACAGTTCTGAAATCTTCCATTTAGTATTTCTGTTATTTCAGTAAAATAAAACCTGAATGGCTAAAATCCTTACATTCATTAAATGTGTCACCATAGGTAAATTTTCAACCTGGAGTCTCCCAGGACACACCCACAATTGTGTAGCTTACTGCTCTAGAAAAACTGTTGTATATAATTACAGTTAAGATTGTACACCTCCAGATGAGCCAAAATAGTTCAAGAAAATCAATACATGTATTAGGAAAATGTACTAAAATTTTGAGAAAGGTAAAACATTCAGAATCTAAGTTATATTTTTCATGTTTTATTCGGTATAAGACTGATTTTGCAGTATTTTATCACCATTTTTCTACTGCGTTACTAACGCAGTAAGGGCTGTTTTTGCATATTTTGACCACATTTTAGTAATATTTGTGGATTGTAAGTGCTGTATGCAATATATAAATTACTTTATTTGTAAACCTCACAATATTTTACTTTTAAATACATTTCCAAAATTTTCATGGAAATAAACATGAATCTGGAGGGCGTGCTGCTTTAAGATTGATAACTTTTTACGAACCAGCAAATATACATCCAGCTGACCACATATCAATTGATGTAGAATACATCTTAGCTCCAAATAATACATCAGGAGGTCTGTACCATAAAGTTACCACCTGAAAAAAAAACAACATCCCCATCACATATGCTAACTTATCTTCATAAATAAACTTGTTTTGTTTTAATTAATCTAATTCTTGTGTTTCTAAGTTTTTACATGTGTATTAGCAGTTTCTTGTAAACAAATGGTTAAAAATACAACCAGCAATGTTACAGTCATATGGTAATTATGAAATCTACTGACCTAGTGTTAAATGTTAAAGTTTAAATCAGGAGAAAGAGCATTTATTAATAATCTTGTTTAAAGTAAATATATGGAGACCTGTATTAGTAGAACCATTCTTTTACATTCTAGAAACTATGTTTATTAATATGGGTATCATATCTATCTGTTTAAATGGGTTTGGTCAGTTTTTACACAAAAAAGAAAAACAACAGAAAATTCAATAACCGGTAAGAGGTCAGTAATAGACAATGAGCCTTAGAGGCAAAATAGTTTTCAATTAATGCTAAATATTACCTACATTTCTTACAACATTATTATGACAGTTTGTTTGTATTTTAGATGTATTTAGTGAAGCAATGTATTTTTTTCAATCTGATTGGGTATGATACGACCAAGCAGAAAAGAGTTACTCCATATTCACATATGTATTGTTATCATTTTGAGTATGACAAAAATACGAAAAAAAAAATCAAAATGTCATACCTTGTCTTAAAGTTGAAAATTTAAAGATCTTATTAATAGGGTTGTTTAAATGTTTATCCCGGTTATTAGGCCACTGTTTAAACAGTTAGCATTTTTTTAACCATGACTTCCCTACTAATTAACATCCATACAGTGAACAATCTATTGCCTCTCTGCAGATTTAAAATCACTTAGAACAAAAGTAAATGATTTCAAGTCAGTGATCATTATTCCTCTGGCAAGAAAATATCAAAGAACAACCAACTCTAAACATGATACAAAAAGATATAAGCCATTTTCGTTTCATATAAGGCAAGCTGGCACTTTCTTTAAAATTTATTTCCCTCTAACTTGTGTAATGGATTTGCTCAATTTAGTATTTGGTACAGTCCATTCAATGGTTGAATATAGGGGATTTCAATATCAAAACACAAACATTAAGCTAACACTGGTATAGATCCTGTTCAGCTTGGATAAGCAGAATGGCAAAGTCTTATCACTTTTAGTTCTGGCATTTATCATCTTTTATTTCTCTCTCCTTTTTTTTCATACTCTTTCTTTTCTTCATCTCATACTTAAAATGGACTTTATAGTGCTATAATCATTTCTAAGGATTCATTTTGTTCTTTCAAGAAAATTTATAAGAAGATCTTAAGATACAAATATATTTGTCATTATTTGATTACATTGATTTGAAATTATACTTTATGTATTTAATTACTATGACTTGAATGTTTGTATATCATGATTGAATATTCAATTAACAAAAAATATATAAAAAAAGTCTTTATACGGGGAAGTCAAAGACCAGGCCCGCAAAGCGGGTCCGGGCTTTGGCTTGCCCAGCTATAGACTACACGTGTATATTTAAAAGAAAATCAAATAAAAAACAATTAAAAAATATAAAGAATTCTATATAATACCTATCAATGAAATTTTCAGTGTCAGTTCTAGTCGGGCGCCGCCATTTACAATGTAACTCAATGATAATAGGCGGGGTATTCCGATAACGGAACAAATCTCAACTTTTCGGATAAATAATAATCGTCGAGTGTTCCGAGTGAAAACGGAAGTGGTGCATGTAATACCGAATGACACCTTTAAAACGGAAAGAATGAAAGGAATTTTTTAACGACTTCCCCGTTCATAGGCTTTGCCTTATTTCATATTAATGATCTAAAATTGAAAAATAAATCCTACCTCTGCTGAATAGAATCTCACCGGAATACCGAACGCCCTCGCTAAACCAAAATCTGCTAGTTTTAATTCCCCACTCTGTAAAACATAAAATTTGTATATGTATTACAATTACATTTATTTGTTTTGGTTTATCGTGAATTGTAAGTGACAAAAAGACAGTAATAGTCATAATTATGGTGACTTTAAAAGTATAAACATCAAAGAATGAAATATATATATATATAATCTGATTTTTGGTAAGTTTCAATATCATACATTTTAAGTAAACAAAACCATCTTGGTGCTTTATGTGTATTAAGCCAGAAACCTGGATAGAACCACCAATCTTTCTTATGATAGCAGAAACGTGTCCATGTATGAAAAAAATCAAGCTTCCTTGCTAAAATTTGAGCCCACAGGGCTGACAGACAAGGCGCCAACCACTTGGTCAGCTTCCAAAACATTCCATCTTATACATCCAACACATATTGTTTATTATTTAATTATGCACAATATTCAATATGTAAAATATGTTGTTGTTGAAGAATTTTATGAATACCAAATGTGACAGTTGCTTGTTTAATAATTAATAATTGAGTACCTTTGAGGGTGTTACAAAAAGATCTTATCAATTTGTTGGTTCATTTATTATGTTAAAAAAAATGGTGTTCTAATTTCAACTACAAATACACAAAAAATATAAATAAGCAAAGTAATATTCAAAGCATTAATGAAACTTTGTTGTTTATATTTGATATTTACCTTGTTTACCATGAGACATTAGTTGTATATGTTAGATATTTACCTTGTTTACTATGAGACGTTTGTTGTATATGTTAGATATATATCTTGTTTACCATGAGACGTTTGTCGTATATATTAGATATTTACCTTGTTTACCATGTGACGTTTGTTGTATATGTTGATATCTACCTTGTTTACCTTGAGACTTTTGTTGTATATGTTAGATATCTACCTTGTTTACCATGAGACGTTTGTTGTATATATTAGATATTTACCTTGTTTACCATGTGACGTTTGTTGTATATGTTAGATATTTACCTTGTTTACCATGTGACGTTTGTTGTATATGTTAGATATTTACCTTGTTTACCATGAGACGTTTGTTGTATATATTAGATATTTACCTTGTTTACCATGTGACGTTTGTTGTATATGTTAGATATTTACCTTGTTTACCTTGAGACGTTTGTTGTATATGTTAGATATCTACCTTGTTTACCATGAGACGTTTGTTGTATATGTTAGATATTTACCTTGTTTACCATGTGACGTTTGTTGTATATGTTAGATATTTACCTTGTTTACCATGTGACATTTGTTGTATATGTTAAATATTTACCTTGTTTACCATGTGACGTTTGTTGTATATGTTGATATCTACCTTGTTTACCATGTGACGTTTGTTGTATATGTTAGATATTTACCTTGTTTACCATGTGACGTTTGTTGTATATGATAGATATTTACCTTGTTTACCATGTGACGTTTGTTGTATATGTTAGATATATACCTTGTTTACCATGTGACGTTTGTTGTATATGTTAAATATTTAACTTGTTTACCATGAGACATTAGTTGTATATGTTAGATATATATCTTGTTTACCAGTGAGACGTTTTTGTATATGTTAGATATTTACCTTGTTTACCATGAGACATTTGTTGTATATGTTAGATATCTACCTTGTTTACAAAGAGATGTTTGTTGTATATGTTAGATACTTACCTTGTTTACCATGAGACATTTGTTGTATATTTAAGATATATATCTTAGTTACCTTGAGACATTGTATATGTTAGATATTTACCTTGTTTACCTTGAGACATTTACCTTGCTTACCTAGAGACACTTGTTGTATATTTTAGATATATATCTTGAGACATTTGTTGTATATGTAATATGTTTACCTTGTTTACCACGAGACGTTTGTTGTATATGTTAGATATATACCTTGTTTACCATGTGACATTTGTTGTATATGTTTGATATATAACTTGTAATACCATGACAAGTTTGTTGTATATGTTTGATATATAACTTGTTTACCATGAGACGTTTGTTGTATATGTTAGATATATATCCACCTTGTTTACCAAGAGACGTTTGTTGTATATGATAGATATTTACCTTGTTTACCATGAGACGTTTGTTGTATATGTTAGGTATTTACCTTGTTCACCACGAGACGTTTGTTGTATATGTTAGATATCTACCTTGTTTACCATGAGACGTTTGTTGTATATGATAGATATCTACCTTGTTTACCATGAGACGTTTGTTGTATATGTTAGATATTTACCTTGTTTACCATGAGACGTTTGTTGTATATGTTAGATATCTACCTTGTTTACCATGAGACGTTTGTTGTATATGTTAGATATTTACCTTGTTTACCATGAGACGTTTGTTGTATATGTTAGATATTTACCTTGTTTACCATGAGACACATGTTGTATATGTTAGATATTTACCTTGTTTACCATGAGACATTTGTTGTATATGTTAGATAATTACCTTGTTTACCATGAAACACATGTTGTATATGTTAGATATTTACCTTGTTTACCATGAGACGTTTGTTGTATATGTTAGATATATACCTTGTTTACCATGAGACACATGTTGTATATGTTAGATATCTACCTTGTTTACCATGAGATGTTTGTTGTATATGTTAGATATCTACCTTGTTTACCATGAGACACATGTTGTATATGTTAGATATCTACCTTGTTTACCATGAGACATTTGTTGTATATGTTAGATATTTACCTTGTTTACCATGAGACGTTTGTTGTATATGTTAGATATCTACCTTGTTTACCATGAGACATTTGTTGTATATGTTAGATATTTACCTTGTTTACCATGTGACGTTTGTTGTGTAAGTTATATATTTACCTTGTTTACCATGAGACGTTTGTTGTATATGTTAGGTATTTACCTTGTTCACCATGAGACGTTTGTTGTATATGTTAAATATCTACCTTGTTTACCATGAGACGTTTGTTGTATATGTTGGATATTACCTTGTTCACCATGAGATGTTTGTTGTATATGTTAGATATTTACCTTGTTTACCATGAGACGTTTGTTGTATAAATTAGATATTTACCTTGTTTACCATGAGACATTTGTTGTATATGTTAAATATTTAACTTGTTTACCATGAGACATTTGTTGTATATGTTAGATATTTACCTTGTTTACCTTGAGACGTTTGTTGTTTAAGTTAGATATTTACCTTGTTTATGAGAAGATTTTGTGGTTTAAGATCTCTATGTAGTACATTGTTACTGTGACAGAAAGCTAAACCTCTCAACAACTGGTACATGAATGACTGGAAAACACAAAATAAAAACAATAACCTTATATGTTTTTGTTAATACATAATGTACATTTTTTTAAAAGGTTGGTTGGAAAAAAAAGTTATTGTAAGTGAGATTATTCACATTCAAGCCTGTTTCCTGGTGTGAAAAGAGGAAACAAGAATTAAACCCATGTAGGACTCAAACCCATGATATTTTGGTTGAAAGACATACACCATTATTTCTTGCAGGTGCTTAGTTGAATACTATCACACATAGAGAATGATAAAATATTGATTTGATTAGATTTTTGTTTGTTTGTTTGATTGTGCTTTACGTCAAACTGACACAGTATAGGTCATTTGGCGACATTCCAGCTTTACTGATGGAGGAAGACCTCAGGTGCCCTTCTGTGCATTATTTCAGGCACGAACAGGCACCTGAGTAGAACCACCGTAAGCTAGCTAGATAGCTTCCTCACATGAAAGAATCCAAAGTCCCTGTCGGGATTAGAACCCACAGCAGTGTCAGTGATAGGCAAGTGGTTTGATTAGATTTTAATACATGGAAAGGGTCAATTAAACTTTATATAAAACATTTCTTTATCAGGATGGAAACACTGTGCTATCAACAGTATAGGGTTAAAACAGACTGTATAGAAGGCTTATCACTTTTCCGTTACAACAAGGTGCAAGTTCACCACATGTTTACCTTGACTGTATCAAGGTGTAAGTTCAGCACATATTTACCTTGACGGTATCAAGGTGTAAGTTCACCACATGTTTACCTTGACAGTATCCTGGTCAATCTCTCCATTACAGCTGTCAAAATATTTCTTCAGATCTTGATCACAGTATTCAAATACCAACGTAAGTTTCTTGTCACTGTGTAGAACATCGTGTAATCTTAAATTATGAGCAAATATACATAGAATTACTGTACAAGGTTAAGTAGCGAAGCTGACATATTGATGAACTTTGCGACTTGACGAAAATCGCTTAAATTTACTGACTTTTAGCGTAAATATCAACAACCTGCAATTAAATTCTACCCTTACAAGATTTGTTAATTTTTCCTAAGGCAAAATGTCTGGAATTTAAATTTTCTAACTTTTCGACACACGAAAATATTTACAGTGTACATAATGTGTAAAAATGGGTGGGTATAAAATCAATCATGCATACAACTCACAAGGTATGACAAACCATATAAGTAATAAATAAAGGATACTTGTTACTTTCATGGTATGATCAAAATATATTTCAACTAGAGAATACTGGATGTTAGAGTTTCTTAAGTGACGAAGCCAAGAGCAAAAATTTAGACCATTGTGATGATGTGTCAAATATAAATTAGATTTTAAAAGTTTATAAAATATGTGAAATGAATTTCTTTTTATTTTCAGTGATTATTACTGCAAATGTCATAAACACACCTTTGTGACAGCATAAGATCATGGCATCACGCAGCTTCATGTTAAAAATCATAATTACATTAAAGTTCTTGAATTTGTCATATTATCATATAAAGTCTGCAAATGTTTTACCTTTAATAATCTTACCTGACAATGTTTCTATGTTTAAGTTCCTTTAACAAACAAATCTCTCGTAATGCCGAGCTTGGCACTCCCTGAAATGCAAAAAAAATTTGTCTCAAGAAAATAATTTCATTACATTTTCAAAAATATCAGGGGCGTATATAGGTTTAAATTTCTCTTTTACAATGTCATTTAACACAGAATCATATCAGCAATATTTCAACAAGTATACAACAATCATGTATGATTATTATCATTACCTCATCATCATCATCAAGACGAACTCTCTTTAATGCTACAATCTCTTGAGATTCTCTATTCTTTGCTTTAAACACTGTTCCATATGTCCCTAAAAATACAAAATAATCACAATGCTAGTTAGTTCATATTTGTTTTTCATTACCACTAAAGTTTGTACCTTACCAGTGCTGGTTCAAATCCAGTCTGGGAGACTGGATTCTTGTGGTTAGGAAATGTTTACAGCCAGCTTTCAAGGTTAGTGGTTCTTTAAATGTGCCTAGTCATCCAGTCTTAAATAATGCAGGAAGTGGCAACTGTGGTCTCCCTCTATGAGAAGAGTTGAAAAGAACCCCATATGACCTTTACAGTGATGACGTGATCCGGAATTTAAACCCAACATAACAAACAAAACTATAAAGTTTATGTCACACTAACATTGTTATGATCATTATGACAATTTTCAAGTCTTCACACCAGTAAAGGGTTACACAATTTAAACAACAACTTAACCAATATGAGCTAGAAGCAAAAACAATAATATTCATTCAAATTCTTCTTCAAAATTTCCTTTTTTCTGCTCTATCAGGTATTTAAATTTTTCTTTCAACAATTAAAAAGACAATTTTACATAGGCATAAAAGGGCATTATGAGATTGATAAAATTTATGTGAAGGCCGAATTCTAAGGGGTTCTTAGGGCAGTGGCCTACATTTCTGGCCTACTTGTAGCCATGCTGTAAAGAAAACTGACAAGTTTTTTGTATATCAGTCATGACACAATCGACTTACTCCAGAATATATGTTATTCAGAATTAGGCAAATGCTGGTTTTTCCAAACTAATCCCCAAATATGAACAAACATTTACTGTTAAAGCTTCACTGAGCACTATTGTTCAGAATAGATTAGTCAATCAGGAGATAAGCATGGATTAGGAAAAAACCCACATTTGCAAAGATATGTTGCTATGAATAGGATATCGACCGAGTACGAGGTCTTTCTGTAAACAGACAGATCTTGATGTACGACCAGGTCTTTCCTAAACAGACAGATCGATGTACGAGGCCGATATCCAACTTACACACCGTTAAAACAATATTGGCTTGAGCAATAGCTGATCCGAAGCATTTGATGAAATGCACAAATATTATTTTTAACACAACGCATATACAGGTAAGCTTTTATCAACGTTCTCCTTACATACACTATATACTTTGCTTTCCCCTTCAAAATAAAAAGTAAAAAAAGCTAACTGTGCAATTTGTCATTCATAAAGTGAATAGATCTGTAATAAAAGGTATGCTAAAGAATGAATAATTATGTTGATAGTATTTCGTATAAGAAAATGCAGATTCTAGGACATTTGCCCCCGGACAATTGCCTCCCGGACGTATGCCCCCTTTTTGCCGTTGTGACTTGTCACTTGTCATCTCGTGTACAGATGTATGCCAATGGAAACAATTAGTTTTATTTACTTATGGTTTCACAAATTTGCTCGAGAGTTTTTGTGTATTTCAGCACAATGAAATTCCGACAATAGGTGATGAATTATGGAAGCAAACAATTCAACAATAAAATATTTTTTAAAACAGGGAGGGGGCGGGGGGCAAATGTCCACCCCTTCCAAAGATATGAGGGGCAAAGACTGTCATTGCATAAAAGGGGCAAACTTCCAAGGGGGCAACTGTCCGAAGGGCAATGTGTGGATACCCAGCAGACCACGAAAGACTTACATATATATATTGTTGGCAAGTGTGAGATACATGAATCGAAACTATATGTTATATAGCAGAATACAAAGTGTTCTAGAATAAAATATTATGATCGTTCATCATAAAATATTTTAAACTAAATCACTTATAACTTCATTTATATTTTAAAATCGTAATGAGAATGCTGTGATTTTTGCTATATAGTTTCATAGATATAAACTTAAAGCGTCCATTTTGTTATATTATGAACTTAATGACAGAATTACTATTACTTAAAAAAATGACGCGATTAAATAAATGTTAAATGTGTCCTAATTTTGATATGCTTATAAAATTTCTATCCCTTATTTTTATTGACAGATTTAATATAGGGATGCTGGAATAATTGCTAAGTTAAAAGGGGTTTAATTTCTGTTGCATTTCATGTTTTCTTTGTCTGCGCATAGGCAGGTCTATTTTTTCACGTGTATTTCATGACCAGGTCTTTCTGACTAGAACAGACCTGCGCACATGCAAAAGATAGACCTCATAACGGACTTTCTTTTGTTTAAACATGTCTACCCGAAAAATATAGACCTATCACAAACAATAGAGGAGGTGTGTAAAATTGGAAAATATTTGAATTGCTCCTATAGCTAACACCCTATGTAAACGCAATAATACACTATATATCACTATATAATTTATGGTACACCAATCATTCATTGAAAGAATTAAAATCTACCATAACTATAACATGACTGTATTAAACTATAATTATATTAATTGTGATGCTAAATATGCCTTCAAGACAGATTGCAAACCTATTGTTGAGAATAGCACAAATGATTTCTTTTTTCTGTCAAATGTGAAACAAAACAATATTTATTTCATGCTTTCCAGTGTTTTATTGTAATATATCAGATGATTATATTCCGATAAACCACTAGTGAAATTTATAAAATATAATTTTCACTGTAGCCGGACTATATCTGAATGCGGATGAAAAGAAAATCATAACTAAATGGAATAACAGGCAGAAATAAATGCCGTCATACGTAAATTTTGTTTCTTTAGGAAAAGAAAGTCGATGTCATCATACATCATGTTAAAAAATGTAACAAAATTAGAGAAATTTTACAGAACTACATTTCAAAATTGATGATGTGACGTCATGATGTGATGACGTCACAAAGGAGAATGCGCGACGTTACGCGGCAAAATCAGTAATAAGATACTTGAAATCATTTAAAAAGCATGAAATAAAAAGAAAATTTATTTGTTTTACATATAAGATTGAAATATATTTCATTCGTGAACACCAGCTATTATATTTTCACTCGTGGCGTTGACTCGTGGCTACGCCACTCGTGAAAATATTGCATCTGGTGTTCACTCAGTGAAATTATATTTTAATCTTACATGCAAAACAAACAAATATCCTCTATATATTCAAGTAATTGCCAGTGTTTTTTCTGAGATAATTTCCTTAGCCTCTGGATTTTGGGAAGAATTGCTAACTGTGAAGTAAAAAAGCTGGTGTACATTTAGATTTTAGAGAAAATTGCATGATTTTAATGAGAATTTCATTTGGGAAGAGGCCTTTTAATTTTTATAGTCCTCTGTTATATTTGATGAAAAATCACTGATAGCATATAAGCAACACATTGTTTGCATACACACGGGCATAAAATTATCAGAAGAGAAAATCAAACTTGACCTTTGTTTTGACATATAAACATTATCACCATCACTGAAAGCCTCCAAATTAAAGTCATTCTACGGAAACCAATAATTTTGTGATAAATATGCTTTAAAAGGAGCATAACTCTGTCAATAATTAGTTGATAGAAGTTATGCCAAGTATAAACACAATAATTGAATTCCTTGCAGGAATGAATGCACGGACTAACAATGCCCTAACACTAAACATCACATCGTTCTATAGATATGTAATAACAAATTTGGTCATTCTTTTCCATTGTACCTCATTTAAAGCTAAAATTTGTTCGCAATGATTAAATGAAAGTAATGAATTTCACAAGCATTTATAATAGAAAATATTCATTCACATTGTGTGAAAATATCAAAATTTATCCACATTTAAAGTTTACTAAGATATTAAAATTCAATGAAAATAAAATTCTATTCTCTATTTAAACTGAAAGTATCCAAGTTAGAAAAAATCAAATTAGTGTAATGGTTAACTGCAGATATCAAAAATCAATTCAAAATTAGTTAAATAGCTATTCAAAATATTTCAAATCATTCAAATTTAGCTGATGGAAAAAAATAAAATTACATTCACAGTAAGTTAACTGAAAATCCATTATTTTCTTAAAAATACAAGATTAACTTAATAGTATAATTCATTCACATTTACCTTTAGTGAAATAAATATTCCCTAAATTCAAAGATCCTTCTTATTAACTTAACTGTACCATTTATTTATTGAGCAAATAGATTGAATAGTCATTGCTGCTTGAATAGTTATTAAGTAACTCTAAATCTTGCCCCGGGCACATCTTTACACATGTATACACTTTTTCATTGTCAAATAGAGTGAAAGAAATTCAAAAAATGATAGCTATGGACATGTATTTCTTTTCATAGAATTGGTTTAACTGTTTGTTATTGTATGGTTATTTATAGTAAGAACTAACACCTTGTTTCAGTTCTAAAATAAAAATGAAGGCAAAGGATCCTGTTTGGAATCATTATGATTTGATAGAAGGGGATGATTCTATACAGAAAGCTAAATGTAAAGATTGTGGGAGTATCGTAAGTGCTAAGAGTGCGCGGCTGCGGATACATAGAGCTAAATGTTGCGGGCAGACCCCTCAGTCTGATGGTACGTTTGACAGTGTTGGTTCACCTCATCATGAACCACCTCCATTACCCCTACCAATGATGAACAGAACTTATTATGACATGATGAGTCCAGCTGCTAGTTTTCCGGTAAGTTTAGTTTGTTAACATGACTTTTCTGTACGAAATCTGCTGTGGTCATAGTATCATCTACATTATACTGCTTCAAAATCGTAATCAATTAAATTATCAGGCGCGTTGTCTGGGAATAGATGTTTAAAACAAATATGTTAAGTGCAAATTTATAGACAGAAGGTAAAAGGAAATTATTTTTACAATAGCTTTAGCTCTTAAATTTGGTTTGCAAATCATGGTCATGCAACTACATAATTAGGTTAAGAAGAAGAAGCTTGTTTTGGTTGAGTCTATTATGTTTTGTTCAGGGGGTGAGTTGTCATACACAAACACAATCCCCACTTTCATGGTTGGAAAATAGTCAACACTATCATCTTTTCTTCGTTGTTTTGGAATTAGTAGGCTTAGACGATTTTGTCTTCCTCTTCCTTCCCTTAGCTTTTTTCTCCTAATCTAACTAATCATGTTTTCATGGATGTCTTTTAAAACCTTTTGTTCACTTTCCTTGTGTTTTGCTCGCAATTTGACACCTCCCTTTCGTGCACTTGCCATCAATTGTTCTTTTTGTTTGCTGTCCATTTTTTCAATCCATTCCATTACATATTTCCTGTTTCTTTTAAATAATTGTACCAACGTGTGGTGTGGTAAGAAGCATTGGGGCGTCTCCTCTGGCTTAAATCGAGGTCAACAAAATGGTGTTCACAGCCAAGGTTTGTTAGTGGAGCAAAGTTGGTGGGCTTTGGGTCTGCTGATGGTTGGTAAAATTTACCACCATGTAAAAAGTCTACAAGCTGCTTTCTAATACACTTAAGCAATTTTGGCTCTAGCAATGATTGGTACAAATGGATCAAGTCACGTGATTCATCATTAATGTCAAATAAGGCTTCAACAAGACAGACATTGTGGGGCACTTGTGCTATTTCTAAGGGATCGGATGTACACCAGTGATGAGCACTTACCGGTATAAACAATGTTTCTGGTGAACTTACACATTTGGTAAACTAGAAATGTGTCATCATGCCACGGATGCCCCGCATGCAGCCAAAATTTCAGATGTTATAATATTTAGTTCCAAATTTGTTTGCACAAATTATTGTTTTCATTTTAAGTTCAAAGCCCTTGAAACTTTTCAATGTTAACACAAACCATTTTCATAAAATGTTCAAGGCACTGAAATTATTCAGTCTTTACCTTTTGAAAATAGCATATTTCATATTTGTAGCCAAAATAATGGCTACATACATTTCCACAAAAGTATGAGTGCTGAAACTGAAAGTTCAAAATTTTTCCAATATTCAAGAAAGATAAGTTTGTCCAAAATCATTGAACCACGACCAAATTCAAACTTAAACTGCTTATTCCTAAGATGTATCTATATTATTTTCAAAGTGAAAGGGACATAACTCTGCCAAAAAATCATCGAACCATGACCAAATTCCAACTTGACCTGTTTTTTCTCATGACATATCCATATGTCAAATTTGAGTTGAATATGTAACACTGTTGGGTAGATAATGAACAGAAACTGTGAATTTCATATTATTTTCAATGTTAAAAGGGACATAACTCAGCCAAAAATCTTCGAACCATGACCAAATTCAAACTTGACCTGTTTTTTCTCATGACATATCCATAAGTCAAATTTGAGTTGAATGTGTTGTACCGTTGGGGAGATAATGAACGGAAACTGAAAATTTCATATTATTTTCAATGTAAAAGGGGCATAACTCTGCCAAAAATCGTCGAACCATGACCAAATTCGAACTTGACCTGTATTTTCTCATGACATATCCATATGTCAAATTTGAGTTGAATGTGTTGTACCGTTGGGGAGATAATGAACGGAAACTGAAAATTTCATATTATTTTCAAAGTAAAAGGGGCATAACTCTGCCAAAAATCATTGAACCATGACCAAATTCGAACTTCTCCTGTATTTTCTCATGACATATCCATATGTCAAATTTGAGTTGAATGTTTTGTACCGTTGGGGAGATAATGAACGGAAACTGGAAATTTCATATTATTTTCAAAGTAAAAGGGGCATAACTCTGCCAAAATTCATCGAACCATGACCAAATTCGAACTTGACCTGTATTTTCTCATGACTGTCCATATGTCAAATTTGAGTTGAATATGTAAACCGTTACTTAGATAATGAACGGAAACTGATGATGACGGAATGACAGAATGAAGGAATGACAGAATGACGGAAGGATGGAATGACGGAAGGACGGAACTGGGTAACACTATATGCCCCGGCCATTACATGGCGGGGGCATAAAAATTCTTCAATTTCACCCACATGTTTATCCAATCCAAGGTATGTCAGCTTACCACTTGTAACGAGGTTCCAGTATGGTCCAGTAACTTTGACATAAAACAGTCCTAAAGACTGCAAGAGTGCACAAATCTCTGCAGACTCTAAATCACTTTTAACTGCTGTCAGCTTGAGGTTTGGCTTAGCCACTGTGTTCAATACCTTGAGAAAGTCATCTCTATGCAGATAAACCTCCGCAGCCGTCTGAAATAGTGCATTAAATCTATTGTCTCGGTTATTACCAATAATGGACTTAACCACTTTCTGTGCACAATAAGCCTCCCAACGATCACGAAGTCCAATATGGTCACCTGCTGGACCAAATGTATCTGATGTTGTTCTTACAATTCGTCCCACAACAGTTTCTTTCTTACTCCATGTATTAAATACAGAAAGTGTGTCACGACCTATCAGATTTATCAGCCGTGGTATTTTTGGCAAATATCCAATTGATCTGAGGTGTGTAAAAGGCAGCTATTTCATTGGTTGCCACATGATTCGAAAGGCTCTTTTTATACCACATTTTACAGACAAAATTGCAAAAATTTTAATATAAAATATGAACAATTTGCAGCCAAAAAAAGCATAGAAAATGTATTGTTACTGATAGAGTTCATGTTCGCTGTTAAAGAATATCAATTTTGTTTAAGGCATTTTCATTTGTTGATATTTGATGCACCTGCTGCTGTATATTGAGGCAAATTGATTAATCATAGCCAAGACTTGAGTGCATGTAACATAGCTTAAGGTCTTTAGCGTTCCCGTTTAAATACCATGACATGATGTGAACGCTGAAGACAGACCCGTAGGGAAAGTCAGTCCACCAATAATCGTGCCAGAAATCTGACACACTCGTATTCATTTATCAAACATGCCATGAAGTAAAATGAAGCATACCTTGATAAAACTATGTATAATCTGTTGATAAGCTAAGGATGGACATATAAAAATCTTATCATGAACATAAGCTACCTAATAGTTTCCAACAGGTAAAAAAATCAGCACTTGGCCACCATATAGCCAAAATGTTTCAAATTAGTGACTTGTTTTGATTTGCTTGACTGTTTTTTTGTATTCTAGGCTGCGCGATTGCGCCATCTGCACATTTTTTATGCAAATAGTGCATTTTAATGAAGTCAACACGCGCCAAGTCGCGCATCTGAAGATCTTTTCAACTCAATTCAGTTTATCTTCATCGTATCTTGAACCCTTCAGCCATGTTTGTTTTCACTCGTGGTTATGACTAAAATACGTACTAAATCGTGTGTAGCAGCCAACTGGGTCATCTGGCATGTGTTTTGTAGTATTCATTAATATTTTATTTTTTCTACTTCCGTTTTTGAGCGGACGATAGCTATAAAAAATGCCTTAACATAAATAAATGAATTCTTTTGGGTACGTCATATTGTAAGGTAAATGTTTGTCCCGAACATTTTTTCCAATTTTGAAATTCTAGATACAACACTGCAGTCAATGAGAAAGTCAAAAAAAATTTTCAGCCACAAGGACTGGGATCCTTAGATTTATTTCAGGCCCTTATGGATTTTTTCCCGGCCCAGACTCTGATTAGTGAGAGGTATTTTATTGTAGGGTTGGGGGAGGGATATTGCCATAACTATAAACAAAATTATTTAGCAAATATGAATTATCAGACTTAACTGTGAGATACTATGAACAAATTATACAGAAACATAATAAATAAAACATTAGCATAATTCACAAGAAAACGATTCATCTTTCAAAGGTTTAATTTTGAAGATTGGAGAAAAAATATGGTTTGGTAAGGAAATTATCCAAGACAAGATGGTGGCTTACATTACTTAGCAAAAACTGGTTGTATCTTGCTGTGATTTTTGTTATCTGGGTCTGTGAATATAAGCAAAAATGAATAAAAAAAGATTGATCTTGGAAGTCTTGCATATTTTAGAAGGCCAAAAATATTTCAAACTGGCTGAAATTTTATTCGGACATGAGGACTGACTGTATCGAAATTTATTTCGGCCTTCCTGATTTTTAGTTGGCGAGGTCCGAGGACCGACAGACTTTCGCACAGACTGCATTGTATATGAAAATGAGGGTTGCACTGTATTCTATTAAATCTATCTAGTTACATACAATGACATAAAACAATATCATCAGGGTGTCCGTTTGACCCTTGAATTGACTCTTTGACCCTTCAAATTTCCAAAAGGCCTGATTTGACCCTCAGGATTTTAACTGGAGGTTAAATCTTGTTAAAATCATGGGGATTTGGCCTTGTAGTCGGTTAAACTTAGTCAAATGATCCTCATGATTTCATGGCTAGTGAACACCCTGATCATTAAACTGTTTTGGATATGATTTAAACAAAAAGGGTCACAAAGAAGAAAATTCACAATGCTGATTAAAAAATAATATAAACGAATGTGGGTCGAGTCATCTAAGGTGCGAATTGAAATGAGGCCAATTGTCAAACTCATATCATCTTATGTAAGCTAGGTTTACAACATAAGACAACCTTTCAATGATATAGTCATTTCAAAATTATGATCTTAATTTACAAAATTTTATACCTTCCCCAATTTTCTCAAGTTTTTCATATTTTTGCATTTCTCAAAATTATTTGTGCATCTCTGTTTGTCAAACGCTTGTTACACTTTCTCTAAAGTCTGTCCGTACACGTTACAAAATTGTAAAATACGCGCAAACAATATCATACATACATGTAAATGAGCGTTATTTGTGCTTATATAAAGGCTAAGTAATTCGTTCCAGGATAAGATACTTACTAGTTATAGAATAAGCAGTTCAATAACAAATGTGCCTTTAGTAATTTCTGATACAGTATTTAACATTCTTTCATTCAAAGACATAATTATGACACTAGTCTCTATGTTGACGAAAAATTCCCAAAACAGCTGATTTTTTAAAGAAAAATATATTCATATTCGGTACTCCTGTTCATATTCGCGAATTGAGTTCATATTCGGTATTTAGAGAAACAGATTTATAACATTTATATACATAATTACATTACAGTATATCATTTGAGACTATTAAAAGATTTTTACCATACAACATGAAATAAATGACAGCAATTATTTTTTTTACAGTTTACATGTATACATTTGGAACTTTAATATTTTACATCATGTAAATATAACATGAAAGACATATGCAAATAGAAAAAATCAATAAACATGCAGCTACAATGTCTATAATTGCTGACAAATACAAATAAATGTATGTATAACTTTCATCATAAACAGTAAATTATCAAGGTAGTGCGTGTACATGTCAATTAAAGAACAAAGGAAGTGTGAAAGGAATTTGTATTTAAAGATCCAGTTATTATTATTATTTTTATTATTAATATTTTTAAGGTTTTTATCATAAATATAATGCTCAAATGATGATTTATCAATATTGTATGTTCAAAAAAGCATTATTTGTAAAGATATTACCGAATTTACATTATTATGCTAATAAAGGGAGGCAATTAGAAATTTATTTTCTATAATGTCTTAAGTCAAATTTTTCAATAAGAAATGAATGCATATATTTTAATGATTACATATAATGTAGGCAAATATTTGCAGTACATATTTTACATATTCTTTGGTGTTTGAAAATTGTTGTGGAAGCATATTTATATACATATATAAAATTTCACTTAAATGTGGCATCTAACAACCTTTCAAGAAACAGCCCCTCCACTGCTGATCCATGAGAAGGGTGTCAAGAAGCTCCTGGAGAATCTCAACCCACACAAGGCCACTGGACCGGACCAGATCTCATCCAGATTTCTGAGGGAACTGGCTTCAGCCATATCACCAATGCTGACACTCATATTACAAGCTTCACACGATCAGAGCCAAGTACCAGATGACTGGAAGGGCGCACTAGTCACACCACTATTCGGGAAGGGAGACAAGAGTAAGCCTTCAAACTATCGCCCAGTCTCGGTGACATCCATCTGTTGCAAGATTATGGAGCACATTGTCCATAGCCACGTGATCAGTTTCCTCGATCATAACAACATCCTCTCCGATATACAACATGGCTTTCGGAAGAAGAGATCATGCGAGACGCAACTGATCACCACAGTCTAGGAACTTGCAACGGGCCTGAACAACAAACAGCAGATCGACGCCATCTTACTAGACTTCTTCAAGGCGTTTGACAAGGTCCCCCATCGACGTCTCTCGGCCACGCTTCACCACTATGGGATCAGAGGCTAGACTCTGGGTTGGATCAACAGCTTCCTCTCACACCGTCAACAACAAGTAGTACTCGACAGGAAGACATCCTCTCCAGCACCAGTCACATCAGGCGTCCCGCAAGGCACAGTCCTAGGGCCTCTCTTGTTTCTAGTCTACATTAACGACTTGCCGGGCAGGGTCTCCTCCACAGCACGCCTCTTCGCAGATGACTGCCTACTAATATAGGACCATCAGCTCTGAGGAAGACAGCATTGCACTACAACAGGATCTTGACCGCCTACAAGAGTGGGAGCAAGACTGGTTGATGATGTTTAATCCCGACAAGTGTGAGATGATTCGCATTACCAACAAGCGGAAAGTGATAACTGGGTCGTATGCCATCCATGGCCAAACACTCAAGCAGACGAACAAGGCAAAGTATCTGGGTGCCACACTTGACAATACGCTTTCCTGGAACAGCCATATTGACGCTACTGCAAAGAAGGCGAACACCACCACTGCCTTTCTATGCAGAAACTTATCACACTGTCCACAGAACATCAAGGCGACATGTTACAAAACACTGGTTAGACCTCAGCTCGAGTATGCTTCGTCAGTATGGGACCCACACACAAGATACAAGATACAAGATACAAGAAACTTTATTTTAAGTCGGTTTACATATTACAAGAAACATTAGCTAATAAGCTATTTACCGACAATAACAAAAGCATAAAACATATTTACTAACATATAACCAAGGCCAACATCAGTAAGCTCGAGAACTGCCAACGAAGAGCAGCCAGGTTCTACACAGGTGATTATCGTTACACCAGCAGCGTTACTGCAATGATGGAAGCTCTAAGCTGGGACACTCTAGAAGCCCGCCGTCAGCAAACCAAAGCAGTGATGATATACAGAGTCATTAACAGCCTGGTAGATATCCGAGCCCATCACATACTGATCCCTGCTGGAGTACACACCCGAGGCCATGCCAACAGGTATCTACAACCCTTCACCAGTGTCAACTCATACAAGTATTCGTTCCTTCCTTCTGGGATCCGACTTTGGAACAGCCTACCAGAAGTCGTGATGACAGCCCCGTCCCTAGATCGAGGTCTTCAAGACGAGGATGGGTGCGCTGCACGAGTTACTCTAGAGCATGGTGTTTTTAACCTGTTTTTAGCTGCACTTGATGTTCCCTTCACTCATGTTAATAGTCACAATTGTGCGACGATGCTCCAGAGGGGCCCAGCACATTACCCGGAAGAAGAAGAAGAAATACAACATGCAGGATCTTTAGAGTATCGTCAAATATATCTATGAAAAAATAATACAGTTACCATTTAAATGAATAATAGAAAAGTTATTTTAAACAGTTAAACATTCATTGCAATTATTATTTGTAATAATATTTTTGAAAATGTAGAGCTACATTTAATTATGATCATATTTATTTAATTTTTCAAAAATGTCATAGTGGTAACACTTTTTTGAAAATAAAGACAATAATATTTCTATTTTGTAATTTTTTATACATTTAAGATACAAACAAAAATATATTGAAACAATTATTTTTTAATCACCATAATTTGATTATGTATGAAAGGGTTGTGAAGTGTCTCAATCAGTCAATCAAATTTCATAAAAAGGGGATTGAAGTGGGTCAGGGTGAAGTGACTATATATAAGGGTGAACTGTCTGTAAATCCACACGTGTCTTTTATTTTTTGCAGAAAATGTAACATCTATGCTCATTGGACTAAAATGAGTTGAATGGAGTTGGAATATTATAAATTTTTGATAATAAAACAATGGTATGAAATAATGAATATTAATATTTACATCAGTCAGTATACGGTACGGTACGGCACGTGCCACAATTATTATCAAATCTCAAATTACCAAGCATTTAAATGATACTGATGTTTTATTTTGGCGTCGGCGAAGCACAAAGAAAATTCAATTGATATGCAGCAGCCCCAGCGATATCCGTCCCAAGTCCCACAAATGAGGTCTTATCCTCAGCCAGGATACCCATCGGTATGATATCATAGAATTAATAGCTTCCTTAATTTATACTAGCAAAGTTATTCCTAAAATTATAGGTGTGGTTTCGGTGGGTGGGGTAAGACTAAGAGCATACTAAAATTCAAGTGCATTTACATTAGTATAATGATTATAATGTATTTCTTTTATGACCTGTGTTTGCGTTAATGCAGATGTAATTGTTAAATATGAAAGTAGGCAAAGCTCAGGATCAGGGAAGGGCATGCCCTAGCCTAATTAATTTGGCGTGAACGGTTTGACCCATTTTACAGACTTTTTTTTCTTACTGTCAAACCGTTACGCCTAATTTTAACTGTCATTTTTATGCACGAAAAATCTACCGGTAACACTATCGATAGTTTGGACTGATTTTTACTGCTTAAACCTGAAAGTAACTTCAATTACCTGTAAAGATCAATAGAATATAAATTTTAGTACTAAATTCTCCTAGAAAAAATAGTACATTGTACCTGTCTTAACGCATACATGCGATTTATTTCAAATTTGTACTGTCTACTCTATCTTAGGCGGACATGTTATGACGTCATCGTAAAAAATCGATTCCGTGAAAGCTGGTAGTAGCTACCAGTGTGTCTAGCAGGTAAGTGTAGGTTACGCATGAAGATTAAATTAAACGAAATATCGGGGGAAATAAATCTATTCATTATTTTTTAATAAATGTGTGCATTATTAAATACTATTGAAAAGTATCATTGTATTTAACCTAAAATGCAATGGTCGCAAATAGGCTCTGTACAAGTACTGTTGTTTAATATTTTTTAAATATTTTAATACATATATACATGTACTCAACATTTATCAATTGGTGGTTTGCCTTCTTGTTTACTGCTAATGACTGCCAAATGTCACTCTCGGATAAAATACTGACTTCATTTATACATGCATATTTTTATGACAATTAAGAACGTAAAAGAAATATTGAAGGAAACTATTTGAAATACACTTCAAATTATTCAGTATTTGTACAAATAATATTTCAAGAGCTCTTTTTCACCGATTGCCGATATATAATACCATATTAAACCTATTGATAAAGTTAAATGTCTTCTTGACGTACTTTATTAATTTACTAAAAAGGAACTTTATTGTGATCCAGCCATATGCTGTGTAACTATAAAGGAAGGGTCACATATTTTAATTGAAATAAATTTTAAGTAGAGGATATTAAAAAAAAAGTCATTGAGAAGATCAGAGTTTTCAAATGAACAGATTAAGAGACTTATAAATGTATAAGGTGTATGTCTTGTTGTTTCATACTGTTTTGGTGACACTTTTGTTTGTGTCCCTTGTTGTTTTCTCGTCTATGGTAAGTTTCTTCCCTTTGCCCCTAGTTTTATTTCTTTATTTCGCCCCCTCCCCCGAATTTCCTATCCCCTTCTCCTGTGCCCGTTAACTTAGTGGTCCTGTTTCATACTGTTTTGGTGACACTTTTGTTTGTGTCCCTTGTTGTTTTTTCGTCTTTGGTAAGTATCTTCCCTTTGCCCCTAGTTTTATTTCTTTATTTCGCCCCCTCCCCGAATTTCCTATCCCCTTCCCCTGTGATCGTTAACTTAGTGGTCCTATTAATCATTCATTTATTTATTTTCTTTGATTTCCTTCTCAGTTACATTTTAGTGATAAGCCTGACCGTGCTCTCCCTTGCGCCCTTTCCCGTTTTAATTTAGGATCCTCCTGGGCTCCTTGCCAATGGTTCATGTTCCTGGGTCGTGTGGGGTTTGCGTTCATTGAACGCCGCCTTTCCTTGTTCATCTTGTTTATCATATTGTATACATGTATACCGAACCGTAACAAACAGATAATGATTACCAATACAAGGTTCGGCAAGCAAGCAAAGAAATGTAAAGAAACAGAAAAAACTTATCCACATTCATGTATCCACCCTCCAAAAAAACCCACCAAAAACGCCTGAAACTGCAAAATAGAAACATAAATACACAGGAGTGCCAAAGACGGCTCTGGTAGGTTCAAGTGCTCCCTTTCGCCGGTTTAAACAGAATTGATCACTTAAACATAATAAGGTTGAAATTTTTAATCAACATCCACAGATGTGTACATAATACGGAGGTAATCATGGAACTTTCAATGTGACACATTCGAGGTGCCGTTCAACGGGAACTAGATAACATGGAATTTTTAATGGGTATCAGAAGTTTTGGTGCCTTTTGCGACAGTCGTTCCAACATTTCTCCCATCTGTCTTACATTGTTATGCTATCCAACATCTAAATAACGGTCACTAAATTTCCGCTTGCTGTGTTTTTATCATAAACCCCGTCAAATCTGTGCGACAATTGTATTTTACTGAGGACTGTCTGAAATTCCATTTTATAGTTTGAAATTTTAAGATTTTTTTTTCAGAGTTTTAAAGTTATTTTTGGTTGTTTTGAACTTCTTCCCATACACAACTGTCCTCAATTTCTTTTAAAGATAATAAACTAGAAATTGATATGGAGTGTTGTGTAATATAAATTGAAATTCTTCTTTGCTTCATCATGTATAGTATAATTATAATTCATTAAGATGTACCTATAATTACATTGTATTTTTGTATGTGGGAAATCATGGCAGGGTTATAAAATAAAAAGGTAGTTCAGAAATTTCACCTAATGATCACAGATGTTAAAAAGTCCAACTTAATAATATCTAATTTGACAATTTAAATGGACCCAGGGAATTCCCCAGGATTTTTTTTAAGCGCTACATTTTTTTAATAAGACGGGGGTGGGTGCGGGAGGGGGTCTTGACCCCCATACCGCGTGTCGAAAATTTTTGCCATTTAAGGTGTCAAGATACTGCTGTGGGCTGTTTTAAAACAAATAATGAAAGCTTTTCACTTGATAAACATTTTCTTAATTTTTATTATTTACTTTTCCATTTCCAACAATTCAAATAAATAAACAATTATATATAAACACAAGTTCACAACATGTGATCAACATTTATATGTATGTGTGTGTCCCATTTAAATGAGTATATTTCAGTTGTTTTTTCTTCATTAACATCATTAAAAGTGGGCCTGTCTTCTAGGTTTGTTGTCCTTCCATGCCTTGACTGCCTTCTCAAAGTTGAAAGATTCTAATGGGGGTCCTTAAAGGGAGACGGCAAGAAGATAGTTCAGAACTTTTACAGAGAGACAATTCCTGTTTTCAGTCTTAACTCTCTTCAGGCAGCTGAATCCTCGCTCAAAATCTGAAATGAATAAATGAAAGTAATCAGTTATGTTAACCTCATGTCTTTTATTTATATTGTTTGTTTGATGTGAATATTTGAAAATTTAAAACTTCAAGCCTATTTAAACTTAACTAAGTAAAAAAAATTATATTTGAAATGTTGAAAAACTTCTAGCAAAGTGTTACACATCTGCAACTGTCATTGGAATTTCATTAATGTTCAAGAATGAATGAATTTAATAATGCTTACCTGCAGTAGAGGTTGGGAGGAGGAGACTCACAGCAGCAATTCTGTAAAGAACTGGATGACTGGTAGAAAGATTGCCAGTAATCCAGGTCATGGTCTGGTCGGCTGACTGATCAGTCCCCTCTAGACTGGCACGTACCTGGTGCCAATGGCTGCGGCACTGCTCCATATCTACACCAAAGTGCCTGGCCAGCTCCTGTATGTTCTGACAAACCAATGCTAAGGGGTAGGACAGTAGATTGCACTTCACAAAGCTGTCCATGAACAGGCTCGATTAAAGAGCTGAGGGCCTGCAAAGTTAATATTTTTTTCATTTTGGGGATTCACTGAACAGACACAGATTACAAGATATGTTTAATTAAAAAAGAAAATGACCAATTGGCTGTCACTAAGTGGGATTGTTGATGTAAAGTTTTTGTTGTTGTTTTCACTCATTTGCAAGTTGATAATGAACAGTCGTAAATGTTTTCAATGTTAACGTAGCCATCAACCAAATTTATTTCTGAATATCTATGCAGTTTAATCCAAGAGTAAAAAAAGAAAAAAAAAGCAAAATGATCCTGAGACAGTTTCAACGACATTGCTCACAAAAAAACCTCTTAAAATTGATAGTGAACTAGGCTTCCCTTATTCATGTTAGACATATTATTTTTTGAAATCTTAATACTACAGTATACTACTGTTTAGACGTAACGACCATAAGAAAGTGAAAGATGAAATTGAACATTACACTTTATCAAGACAATTAACCCATTCACTTTTTTTTTTTTTTTTTTGATGCGTTTATTTAAGGTCGCCGCCGGAAAGCCCATATGGGCGACCGTACACTCAAGATGGGTCATCCTAGAGCGTCCCGCCGAGATTTTCCAGCTTTATTGGTGGAGGAAGACCCCAGGTACCCCTACGGGCATTATTTCAGGCACCACCAACCTTCCGTAAGCCAGCTGGATGGCTTCCTCACATGAAAGATTTCGACCCGAGTGAGGATCGAACCTACAGTGGTGAGGGACCTGTGATCCACCCATTCACCCCTAAATATCAAACTGTTATATCGCATGTCAATTAATGCCAATTATATTATCAAAGCAATAAAAGTTATTACACCTACCTGAAACATGTAAATATCACACATGCCGCGGTTAAATTGCACCCATCTCAATACACGGTAATTGACAACACCTAAAAGTGCACGAACAGTCGTCTGCAGACATCGATGACAGGTGTCTGTGACGTCACACAGTATAAAGGCAATCAGTGTATCGGGTTGTGTATACGCCTCGGGTAATTATCTACACAGGACATGTATATTGGCTTGTTTATTTGGCTAATTGGGGTTAACTTATAGACACAGAAGAAAGGGATATCGGTCATTTTTTAAAGCGCTATGATAATTTTAAGCGCATCGGGATTTCTTGTTCTGAAATTTAAGCGCATCGGCGCCGATGCGCTAAAAGCGCCTGGGGAATTCCCTGGGACCTAAATGCAGTATGATCTGACATCCGACATCATAAACTATTTTAATTTCTAAGTAAGGTTATCATAATTTCCTTTACACATTCTCTTTTTAATGCTGAAATATTTGTGTGTGAATAAAAGAGTTATTCCTGCAATAATTCATATAAAAAAACATAAACAAATTGTATAATAAAGCTTGGCAAATACAATCGATTGCCGCCGATACCTGTGTTACACCATGGATTTTACCAGTGTTTACAATTTTACCATGACACCGTTTTCCAATATGGCCGCTTTCAATAATTTTCAACGATTAAAAAAATTAAAGTGGAATATTTAGACTTCTGTTCGACTTTGAAGTATGATAATTTGGAACCTTGCATAAAAAACGATTCTCTTTCAGGTAATGTAGACCGTTTCTTTGGAACTTTTCTAGTTTTCGCTCCCAACAACTTCTAATTGGGAAGCGTCAGTGCATAAAAAAGCAGTTTGTGGTTGGACTTGGAAAAAGACAGCGCCCGTCCAAAATTATCTGGGTGTCTCTTTGACAAGTCTAATTATTTGGACTAGGCATGCCCTAGTCTTATATATCAGATGTTACAGGCTTGTTTTAGTTTGTCGGTCAAGGCTGACGTCTAATAGTTATTGCTCATAAACACATAGCATCATGAAAAAATCTAAAATGTCTATTGTCTTGCCTTTCAAGCTTTATTCAAAAGCTTATAAATGTTCTTTGCTTTCAATTTCATGCTCAATCATATTCGTTTATAAACAAAAAACTCAAAGTTAGTCAAACAATGTTACTTATCAATTTAAAATAAAATATTATTCAATTATTTCTTTAAATAATATTCCGTTACAATTTTCTGACAAAGTTAAATGCTTACATTTGAATTAGCCATTATTGAATCAGAATTCTCGCGCTATATGGCAGCCATTTGTTTATCGGCTGAATAAGGAATTTAATTACATGAGAGGATTTAATCATGATTTTCGGCTGTGACAGTTTATTTATTTTGTTTAGAGGTATTTATTTTTTAGTTTTGTTCATATATAGGTCAAAATTAATGTAAACACGCACTGTCTTAATTGTTTTTTCGTTCCGTCCTGATTTTCTGGATGAACATGCTATGGGGTTTTGAGCAATTTCTATATGACGTTGCTTTGCCCAGAAGCAAAAATATCTCAATGCGACATCATATTTATAGGACTAGGGCATGCCCATGTGGCTGCTGCACATTCTTGAATTGCAGTGCATGATTCACACAAAAAAATTTTACATGCAGGTAAAAAAATTGAGATAGTTATATTAATGAATGTTTAGGATAGTCTAAACTATCTACTAAATGACATTGTGGTCTACCTACTGTTAGTGTTAGTGACAGTTAACCTAAAATATTTGGCATTAATTTTTTTTTATATTAATATTATCAAAAGATTGGGAAAGAAAAGCATTGCCTGTCCAAAATTATCTCATTGTCTGGTTGACAAGTCTAATTAGATGGACTATGGAGCGGTCTAAACTCTGTCACAGTTCAGCAATTTTTTTCCTTAAATTGTTAATGGGTTAAGGGGCTAAAGCCCCACCCCCTAACTAACCCTAAAGAAATTTTTTCTATCAAAGGTGGCATATTGAGGGTAAAATATTAGCAAAAACTGGCTTAAGAAAAATGCAAGTCACTAAATCCTTGTATATTGGAGTCTGGACTCCTGCTGTGTTTCATGTCAGTCAAAACACCATTATACCATATGCCTCTAGGTAATTTTGATCTACTAATTTAGAATTCATTTTTTTCCTGGGCGAGCACCCATAGACCCCCCCCCCCCTCTCAAAAATTCAAGTAGCACAAAAGCCCCTCAAAGCAATGACAGGGTAAATTTATTGCTCAATTTACAATTACCATTTTCCCAGGACTCATGGGCATCTGTGTCCTATATATACATATTTCTAGTTGTAATAAATTAGGAATAATCCATTCAAGTTTTATGGGATTTTAGTTCAAAATACTAAAATTTACTAAAATCTAGTTACATATTATAGAGTGGTGTCCATGGCCGAGTGTTTAATGTTGTCACTTGCCCCTCACTGCAGTGGGTTCAAATTAGACAGGGATTTTGGATTCTTTCATGTGAGGGAGCCAACTGTCTGGCTTATGGAACATTGGTGGTTCTACTCAAGTGCTTGTTTGTGCCTTAAATAATGCAAGGATGGGTACCTAAGGTCTTCCTGGGTGTCGCCATTTGACCTACATGTATACTTGTTGGTGCAACCTAAAAACCAACAAAAATAAGTTACCAACAGAATAGAGCCTGGTCAGACAGCGTAGTGGGAAAGGCTTATCACTCTAGGTAACCAGCCCTGCAGGTTAAGGATAAAGGATATAATATATAAAATACTTGTTCTTTCACACTGAGGTGATAGTTTTATTATTACTCATACTGGTTCATTGTCAGTTTAATAGAAATGATATGGGTAATATTTTATCCATGCACTTCTGGCATAGATATTTCAGTACAGCGGGTCCAAATTATGTGTTAAATGAAAAAATAACACACAAAAAAATAAATAAAAGCATGAAAGGCAATACACTTAATTAATACTCTTTGAATATTACACCAAAATGTATACAATAATTATGTAAAACACTGTAAACTATAGATTTTTTTTTTTAATTTACATAACTTGTACCCTTAAAACACACCTTTTCCCAATAAAAGTTTGGGAGTTGATATTAATAAAATAATAAATAACAACAACAATCTCTTAACAAGAAGTTTATTTAGATTTTAAAGGAGATCCTCTGAGGTTCAAAACCTTAAAACACGAAAAATGATTTTTTACATAAATCAAGGGGCTTTATCCCAAAATAGCTGGCTAAATATTATATTGGGAAAAATTATGTGCCATTTGGCGAATTTTTAAGAACTTGAAAAGCTAACTTTACATATGATTATTTATTAAGTTTTATTCATGTGTTTGATCATACACAATAACTTGTCACTTCTTTTACGAAAGTAGCAATAACAGCTGTTAAGATTTTCGGAATTGGGAAATAATGAGGCAATTTTAGATTGGGAATTGGCCCTTATACCGCCCCCTAGGATAAAAATCCCCTGCCAAGGATTAAATTATGAAATATACACAGAATTGAATTGAATTGAAAATAGATTTTTTTGTGCGATTCTTAGCCAGATTTGCAATTGCTTTTATTTTTTGGTTGTCATTTTGTACAACAAAAATGAATATACTGAAAAATACAGAGTGGGAGATGAATTCATCTATTGATTCATAAATCTTGGTGAAATATTTCTAGCCCCTTTATGCAGGAAAAAAAACGTCAGTGGAGTCATAAAGAAGGTACAAGTCAATAAAATATAAAAATATATATATATTTACATGTTAAAAGAAATGCACTGAGAATTAATTTAATGACACAAAATTTATTAATTATAAATAAAATATAAAAAATGGTTGTTTTTATTGCAATAAAAAATCCCAATTTCATTAGAAAGCTTTGGAACATTCTTAAAATTTGATTGGTCCCAACAAGAAAAAAAAATCTCTTATATCATAATGTATAAAACAAATAATATATATGTACATGAATTTTATATACATGGTATTTTAATATATATACACAATAATGGCACTTAGAAAAAAATGAATATGATTATTAAAGTATGATAGATATACATGTTGTTAAAATTGCATTGTTTTGTTTATATATCTTTTTGCATATCATAAATTTAGCTATTGAATTATGTTAATTGATGAAAAATTAAACAAATACAGTATTTATTGTAAAATAAGCCTCATTGTATGCTATGCAAAACACCAAAAAGTTTTTTTAATTTTTTAATTTGAGACTTCATTCATTAGTTATTTGAAAATGTTAAGTTAATTGTATGTTGTCAAGTGGGAAAAAAAAATTATATGATTATAGATGTATATAAAGTGATGCTGCAGTAAGTCACTAAGTGTCTACTAGGTCACTAATATTTGCAAAGGTGCCACAGTGTAAGAAACACAAAATACTGCAATATCAAATTAGAAACATTTGTTTATTGGTGATTTATGATAAATCAATATTTATTGATGTCCATTTATACAATTAAATGTACATTACATGTACTTCAAAGAACATCATTAGTATTAAGTCTTTCACAGATATATAGTTAAACTCTCAACTATATTTTATACCTGTCTATGTTATTAAATAAACATATTCATTATTTCCCTTATGATGTCACTCTGAAAATTGTCACTTGAACCAGTCAATGGCTTCAGGCTGGAATATATAAAACTATACAAGGCTAAGATGTTTCTATATGTATTCATGATCCAATATTACAGATTTGTGTAAATTCTCACACTTAAAGTGGCCAAAATGATTTTTTATCAAGTGTGTAAATCTAACATAGATAATTATAATTATGACATTTTCTTTTGAAATATTTAATGCCAATAAGCACTGACAACTGCAATAAGCACTTACAATATCATCTCTAAAACACTGTTACAGAATGCTGAAATAAAAAATAAATAAATAAAAAAAAATACTAAAAGGGGCAATATGCTCCATGAATTTTGTACAGTCAAATTTCAGATGCTGTATTTTGAAGTACTATGTTTTAATAAATGTGATATATATTGAGTTTATGCATAGCATAACTCTGATACATTGTTGATTATAACTGAGAGAAAGCTCATCATTTACTGTTGTTTTTCACTGAACATTAGAATTTGTATCACTTTCTGTCAAAACACTATTTTATCTTGCATATCAGATGTTAAAGATTTTCTACTATTTACACTGGAAATCTCATTTGCACACCCAAACCCATAAGACAAATTGCATGCTTTAAATGATGCCAATTACACCATACATTGTATTCTATCATATTTTTATTGAAATGGATTACCTCAATAAATTATTTTTTCATGCTTTAATGTCATTTGATCTCTTACTATTTTCTTAAAGAAGTATATGAATTTACAACTTCATTTATAATGGCCAAATGATGTCATCCTAAGATTGCAGTTTCATTCAAAAATGTGCCAGAATGATGTTACTTCTGGCATAACCCATGCCAGTTGAAATTTAGGGCAAACATTAGATATTATAACTAACTACATGAACACAAGTCTTGTATATGCCCACTACATATTGCATTTAATCAGAATATCTTTTGCTTCTCTTACTTTCATGTATTTATCTGTGTCACGTAGATGCTTTCATATTCTTTACACAAGGGCATTCTATTCTATGCCAATGTCAAGAATTTATTTGTTCAATTAGCCTATTCCTTCACCGAGCAATGCATTCAAGAGGAAATTCATTTGGTCTCAAGTTGAAAAGAACGTTTCCGGTAAGGTCTGGTTTGTAGTTTGCTGGAAGCTGTATTTCAACTTTCTTTAGCAGTATTGTTACATATATCAGAAGTAAATCAAGGGCGATTGTTTGACCTAGGCATGGCCTCTTTCCCCGGGAAAATGGAATGAATGGCATCTTCTGGAATATGTGATAGTTTGAGAAGATAGTTCCGTCTGCATCAAGGAATCTTTCAGGTTTGAGTTGGAAGGGTTCGGGCCAATGAGTCTCGTCATGATGAATATGCCACTGATTTGCCATTAGAGCTGTTCCTACAATTATAAGAGTATGTGTTATTTCTTAAAGAAATCATATTAGCTTTTAAGTATAGACTTATTATGAAAAAATAACTTAGAAGCCCAAAGTCAAGTTATCTTGATTTTTACATGTTTACTGACCATTTACGCTTGAATGGGAGTAATGGCACTTTAATGTAATGATTATCTTTAATTTCAGAAAAAGAAATAAAGATAACCAAGACATTTTCATTATTACTTTGAAAATGCAGGCATCGAAAAATATTTTCAGAGTCACTCGTCCTGCAGGATGAGTAGTTTCTAATCAATGTCAAGCAAATTTCTCTGTCCTGCATCAACTCCTAAATTCTATTCGAATTATGAGCAGACATGAATTTTGATGCTTTAATTTTCAGTATATGGTGAGAAGTCTATCTAAGAGAATATAGAGAATATAATATTTGGGTAGCTTAAGGTTTTATAGGTTAAAAAATGTCCAAAATGTTTGAAAGACAGTGGTGCAGAAAGAATGCCAACATTACCTTTGGGAATTGTGTATCCATCTATCTGAAGGTCTCGGCTTGCCACATTTGGTAGACCAATGGCTATCGGGCTACTTAAGCGTAAGCATTCCAGTATTGCAGCCCCTGAAATAGAGTTATTTAAACATGTATATTTTAACTTGTCCCCAAATAGTTTTAGTTGAAAAGAAAAGAGTTTTAAATGTGAAACTTTTGTATGTTTTCTTGCAAAGATCTTTCGTTATGGTCAAGACTTTTGAGACTAAGAGCGTACTGTAATATAATCAACAAATTGTTAACAGTTGATAAAGCATTGTCTACATGTGCCTCTTCAAAGTAAGTAAGTTCCTACCATTTAGAACTTTCCCATTTTCTTAGGTGAGTGACAAAGATCCACTTTGACCTCTTGTTCTAAATTTGTATCAGTTACTGATGAGTGATAATGAATTATTATTGATCACAGCTTAAAACTGATAACAATCATGTAGATAAACAAAAAGTAAACCCTTACTTGTATAATTTAAGAACTGTTTCTGCTGAAGAATATCTTTTGGTTCTTTTGTGAAAACTGAGTCAATTTCTTCCCTCATTTTCTCTTGTACATCTGGGAACACACACAGATATAGCAGTATCCATATTGAAGTATCTGTTGTTGTGTCACAACCTGTTTCACAAAAAAAGATGTTAGCATCTAAACCTCAATAAATTTCCCCAATTAATTTTAGATTAGGTTAAGAATACAGTCATGCTTTTAATTACTTTTACTTTAAAATCATCACTGTTTAAGAATATATCTTAGCTCACAATTATTGTGAGATAAAATTTAGATTGTTTCTGATGGTCAGGGATTTCATTTGGGTTCTCATCTGAAAATGTACCCACTGTGAAATCATTAATGCATGAAAAATAAGCCATGACTATTTGAAAATGTATTTTTTGGTCAGAAATCTTTTTCCTTTAGCCTTTGCCATATAGTATACTTGTTTTAATTTTTTTTATAAAAAAGATTTTTTGACTAGGGACAAGATTACCTGCCATATATATTGTCCATGCTGATAAAAATAGATCTTTTCTTTCAAAGTCATCTGAAGTATTTTGATGATTCTTCACTTTAAGTTCATAGTCAGCAATTATGTCAAATACATCCTTGATCTCCCCATTGTAGTTTTCTGCATGATCCTTTAAACTGTTATCAAAAAGTTCATCCCTGTCCTGTAAGAATGTTTGATAATGTTAATCAAGTTCTATTGATATTATCATATATAAAATAGATATAGATAATATTTACACACACACTACTCCCAAGCACCTCTTCCCACCAACACAAGCCCAAACATACATAAAAAAGAGAAAAATACAAAACAATTATCACCGAAATGTTGTTGAGTAATATTTTGGCCTAGTTTGAATAATTTAGTCAAATTTTTTGCTGATTTTCAATAAAAAGAATTTTTTGTCAATATCCAAACCTTGATGTAATATTATACTTTATGTACATGTATATTCTGTCAAATTCCAGTAGATAATGAGCCCCTTACCTAGCAACCCCTCCCCCCTAACCCTCCACACACACACACATGCACACACTGGATCCATGCATACATGTGATTAAAAAACTTACAGAAATACATTGATGTAATGTTTTCCTGATTGATGTAGGGAGTTTCCACAATATAGGCAGTAAGTTGAAGGGATGTGCCGGATTTAGGAAACTCATAAGTAGGCTGTGGTAATGAATCCGTGACCTCAGATCTGGGCTGTCTATATTGTCAGTCTTAACACCATACACCAACGAGCTGATGATAGCAGTACAAGTCTTGACTACGTCTGCTCGTGGGTAGTAAATACTGCAAGTTTGTTTCTGTATGAACCTGTAAAAAATGTCATCATGGAGATAAAGATGCACATGTCAGATGGGGGTATGAAATGGGGGTATGAGGTTATTATGAATAGGAAATTGGCCTAGTTGGAAAATCACTACAATTTATTGGACTTCACCAAGTATTAACATTAAAATCAAATTATCATCCTGATACTATAAGACAAGTTAGAGTCTGATAATTATAATGTAAAAAGCAATGTTTTTAATCAAGCTTAGATTTGCTTAGATTTATCAATGAAATTGTAATTTGAACTTTTCCCCTAAAAATCTACTTCCTTTTGGTGGAATTATAAAAAGTTAATCTACCGAAAATGCCCTTACATGTCTGTAAGTTGAAGGTATGCATCTATGGCTGACTCTTCTATTGAACTCGAAGGTATGTGTGCAAGTCCGCGGTGTAATATCTTTGTCATGGTTTTCCAACGGGAATTGTACCTACATGATCCAATTCCATCTGCGCCAGTGTTAACTATTCGAAATATGGGAAGGTCTGGGCGATCATGTGCATCAGAACAATCAAACATCTGAAATTGTCAAAAAGTTAGATGCATTATGCAAGAAATCATGACCAGAAACCACTTTGATTGTACTTGAATGGAAAATACCGCTGTCACTCAGTAGTTTCATCTTTTTGAAGTTTTTTTTTTTGCTCCACCTGAGATCTTTATTTATATTTGATACAAACAGTGTTGATTTATATCAAAATTAAACCATCATTGCTGTAAGGATGGTATTTAGCCTAGATCTGTTTAATAATTAATATAATTATGCGGTCTCTTTTATAAAGGGACACTACTACAGCAAAATTAAATTACAGTGCTATTTGTAGTTGCCTCCCTTTAATTGAAATTTTCATCTTTTGTAATTTTTTTAAGGATATACCTGATTCACAAGTTTGATGTCCTGCAAAAACACTGTGCGTCCGAAGGTACCCATCTTTATGGAGAATATCTTTCCATATTGTTTGCCGATAGATTCCAGAGATAGATGTGGTACCCTTGGGTTTAAACGATACACCCCTCCTATAATTGGTAAGGAAACTGGTCCAGGGGGTATTCCTCTAATGTAGACAAGGTATAGGTCCTGTAGTATAGGGTATAAGAACACACAAAGACAGATACCTCCGATTACCTGGAAAAATAAATACAAATCAAATTTTGTATTGCCCGGTAACTGTAATGCCCACAACTATTTTCTATTCTAGTAATTATTTTTTATAATGTGTAAATTCCATGTATCATCTTTAGCCTTTCAGGAATATGCATGTATTGAACCTTTACCATTAATTGTCAGACTGAAATTGTGTGTGAAATAATGCAAGGAAGTACAAGTAAAACTGTAAGGTAACCACCATATGGTAGTTCCAGTATCAGTGCAACTTAAACCATACACAGTTAACAAATGTTGTGTCAAGAAATTCTATATTCCTTTTTACAACCAAATGTCTGTATTTATTTCTTCAAATTTTGTTTATTTGTATCATTGATATTTTTATTGACATAAAAATCATGTTTATCTTTCTTTTATCTTGATGGAGTCATATTTTCAATTATGACACTAGGGTACTAACATTTTGTCATTGAACTTTTCACCAACATAATATTATCATCTTAGCAGGTTTATCTCTACAGATTATTGTCCTTGAATTGGTTTTTCAATCAAAGTACAACTGTACTGACAAAAGCTGACTTGAAGAGTACATAAGGCGGACTGGATCTACTTAAACATAACTTGTGTCTCATTTAAGAGGCAACTGGTTTCAAAAAAAGGGTCACTAATAATCGGCATTTCTTGACCTTTTATAAGATGTATGTTAAATTTGAAAAGAAAATGCCAGCCATTCTAGTGTCACATTCTTAAACAAACTATTCCATTCATAGTTATTTTTGAAGGCATAATAATATATTATGCATATGAAAATTATGTCCTTGTGGGTTTTTTAGCATTTTTGTGTCGCCTCTACGGAGTAGTGGCGACATATAGGGATCACTTCTCCATCGTCTGTCTGTCCGTCTGTCTGTCTGTCCGTCACAAAACTTGTCCGGACTACCCCTCATAAATTACTGGTGCAATTTCATCCAAACTTTACAGGAATGATCAGTACCAAGTCTAGTTGTGCATATTGTCAGCATTTTCCGGTTCAATGATTTTTGTCAGAGTTATGGCCCTTTAATAATTTTTAATTTTAAAGTTTGTCCGGACTAGTTCTCTTATACCACTAATGCAATTTCAATGAAACTTTACAGGATTGATCTGTAGCTCAAGTCCTTGCGCATATTGCAAGGGTTTTCCGGTTGAATGATTTTTGGCCGAGTTATGGCCCTTTGATAAAAAGGTGTTTTTTTCTGTGTGTTGCCAGATACACAATAGCTTGTCCGGACTACTCCTCATAAACTACTGGTGCAATTTCATCCAAACTTTACAGGAATGATCAGTACCAAGTCTAGTTGTGCATATTGTCAGCATTTTCCGGTTCAATGATTTTTGTCAGAGTTATGGCCCTTTAATAATTTTTATTTTTAAAGTTTGTCCGGACTAGTTCTCTTATACCACTTATGCAATTTCAATGAAACTTTACAGGATTGATCTGTAGCTCAAGTCCTTGCGCATATTGCACGGGTTTTCCGGTTGAATGATTTTTGGCTGAGTTATGGCCCTTTGATAAAAAGGTGTTTTTTTCTGTGTGTTGCCAGATACGCAAAAGCTTGTCCGGACTCACTCCTCATAAGCTACTGGTGCAATTTTATCCAAACTTTACATGATTGATCAGTACTTAGTCTAGTTGTGCACTGTCCGTCTGTCTGTCTGTCACAAAATTTGTCCCAACACGAATTTGGCCATTATGAGGCGACACATGTGATTACTGATCGCTCTTGTTGGAATTAAATATTTTTTTCTCCACAATTGAATAGGCTTCTGTCTGGGGAGGTAATTTGATCTCGTTGCATTACTGTTTGTATGTCTTTCTGATAATACTTTAATTCAGCCGCGTCACAACAAAACCAACGTAATGCGTTTGCTACCAGCATGGATCACGACCAGCCTGCACATCCGCGCAGTCTGATCAGGATCCATGCTGTTCACTATCAGTTTCTCTACTTGTAATAGGGTTTGTAAGCGAACAGCATGGATCCTGATCAGAATGCGCAGATGGAGGTTGGTTTTGTCGTGACGCGGCTCACTTATCATCTTTAAAGTCACTTTGTTTATGCATAGAAGTTTAAAATATTTTTTAGCTTTATCACTACGTTGCCTCATTAATTTGTTTTTCAATGTTTTAATTAAACTATTATGCCAAAAAAATCTAGGTCACAAGTTAAAACCATAGAAGGTCAATTCTAAAAGTACAAAAAACAAAGTTGTCTGTACAAATCTTGAAATACAAGTAAATAATTATGTGAGATGACGAATTTTGGTGGCAGTACATACAGGTCACTGTTATTTAGTGTTTTTACTTTATTGATGGTTTTTTGTTGCTAAACAAGGGTCAGGGGGGTCATAAGCTTCTTTCAACAAACAAAATATATATTACCTATGACATCAAATTTGATACAGAGTTTACAAGGTTATGTAAAGCAAAGAAAGATAACTCTGTCATTAATTAATCTTAAATGAAGATGTTTATTTATTATATTAATTTCACGCATCCTTTATTACGAACTGGTTGACAATATTGCCTGTATACTACACCATCATATAGAGAATAGTTGATAACTATGACAGTGTGCTTAGTTCAGTAACTGTTACAGTCAGAATGGCGTTAAACTATGTACTGGTGAAGGCTGTTTCATATATCGGTCATGTAAATTGAGAAACTTTTTATTAATATTGTGGTGGACTTAAACTTTGACATAAAAAAAACGTAAGAATGTTGTAAACAATGATTATTGGAAAAAGCTGTTTATTGTATCACCTAATGGCTCCTGTTCACTGTTCTATAATTAACATACCTCAAGGTGTTGTTAAATAGCGAACAAAGATTTGTAAAATAAATTGTTGAATAACTGCGATTTCAAAGTCAACAGCCAGGGAAAAATTGAATGGGGCCTATTGGGGGAATTAAACTGTGTGTCTTTCTGTCTGTTCATCACATATTCAGAGACATTCTGCCGTATCTAACACTTTACTTAAACTTAGTACATGCATTTGGCTTGATGAATAAGTGGACAATATGCATAGTATTTTATTTTGTTGCTATTGGGAACAACATTTGTAAAATCATTTAAATGGGCCTTCACATTGTTAAAGGAAAAGGAAAAATGATAATTAAAAAGGCTGGAAAGAAATTGAAAAATGAAATGCAGTACAATACTGTCATATGTAAAAAAAAAAGTTGTTGCTGGAGGTTTCTTTATGAAACTCAGAACATTAATTGAGCTGCATCATGACAAAACCAACATAATGGGTTTGCGACCAGCATAGATCCAGACCAGCCTGCGCATCTTACAAACCCTATTACAAGCAGAGAAACTGATAGCGAACAGCATGGATCCTGATCAGACTGCGCGGATGTGCAGGCTGGTCTGGATCCATGCTAGTCGCAAACCCATTACGTTGGTTTTGTCATGGCGCGGCTCAATTGTATTAATTTATAAATGATAAGTGTTGCTTTAGCAGTAATGAGTGTTGCTATATCTGCAGATGCTGTTAAAAATAGCAAAAGATCAACACAAATATTTGGAAGGCAATAATGGTACTTAAAGTATGTGAAATATATTATAAGATATTTCTGTGACCAACCAGACAATGAACTGTAAGTGGGTGTCCCCTGTGACCTTTCCCCCTCACAGTAGATTACAATGTAACGGGATACCTAGTATGTCTGTACCAATTTGTAAACATTTCTTTCATTGATAATTATTAGGTTATTTATGTGAATAAAGTGTACAGTTATCATCAGTATGGTAACAAAACAGACCTTGAAATCTAACAGAAGCTTGATACATATGTAAATATTTAAATAAGTTTGCCTTGAGATGATTAATTTTAAACTTAGTTAACCCAATATAAAATTCCTAGAAATGGGACATTAACCTTAAATAGCAATTTACATAATTAATAGCTAAAAATAGATGCAAATTTAAAGTTGCACATAGTAAGAGGTGAACTTTATGTTTTTCTTAACTTGTTGATTTTGTGATTAGCTTTATGAAGTTTTATTAGCTTTCATAGAATATAATATAATTATTACTTATGATATTTGATTTTGTGTATTGAATATTTTTGTAACGATGTAAAAACAGTAAAATTATGTTGTATTCATAACTCATAACTTAATGCTGTCTTTTCTTTAAAGATTTTTACATAGAATCATAATGTCTATGTTATATAATATAAACAGTAGGAAATTTTTCAGTGTTTGCAATAGTTTCACTTAAGTCCCACCAGCTTTTATTTCAATAAAAAATACTGTCAAATTTCTTTAATTCTAGTATTCTGTTATCATTTTAGCTCGACTATTCAATAAGAATAAGTAGAGCTATAATTGTAGTCACCCGAGCGTCGGCATTACAACCACTTATGTTAAAGTTTTTGTAATACCTCAAATATTTTCAAAGTCCATTGACATATGGCTTTGAAACTTTGCACACTTGTTCAACATCATGACCTCAACCTGTAGACAGGAGGAGGTAACTGTATCAAGCATTTTGACAGAATTATGCCCCCGTTTCATCTTAGAATTATCGTTAAAAGTTTTTTGTAATACCTCAAATATTTTCAAAGTCCATGGACTCTATGAAGCATTTGACAGAATAATGCCCCTTTTTCAACTTAGAATTAACATTTAAGTTTGCATACCAACTCAGATATTTTCATAATTTTTTGACATCTGGCTTTGAAACAAGTTAAAAATTTTATACTCTTTTTTGAGAGCATAATAGGACTCTCTCCAAGGCCTTTAACTGAAACATGGATTTAAAGAGAAATTTGGCCCTTTTGTTAACTCAGAAAATTTTACATTATCAAGGCTCTTTTACTATCAAACACTAAGAATATATATATATAGTTGAGCGTGCTTTCCTACTGACAGCTCTTGTTTTATTGAAGATATAATTAAATAAAAAGATTATTTTTTCATTTTCATTAAATATGGAATATATTTTCACAACATTTTAAAATTTTTATAATGCTTGTATGTGAAATGAGAAAATAAAGTTACAAGTTAAAAAAAAAAAAGGTAAAATTTAATATATTTCACTTGCCTCTCTGGCCCGTGAAAAAGTATGGATTTCATCATGTTTTGTGATGATATATTCTGAAAACGACCCAATATCCTCTTATTTTATATAACTGCAAATCGGCTCTTACTCGACAGTAATTAGTGTAGCCACTTTTTCATGAATAGCCCAGTGCTGATAGTGATAATTGTGATTGGCATATTTTAATTAGCCAGGTCAGGTATTTCTAAAAAGGCTGATAACGCTGATGCAATTTGAGTATATATTCAAATTTATTACATAGATAATACACGTGGATTTGGTAGAGACAAATTATTACATAGTAACATAAAAATGTTTATGACTGTTTTTATTTTCTTGAAAAAGTAAGTTTCATATAATAGGAATGAACTGCATTAATAATCCAAGATATTATGAAGATGTGAATAAAATAATTACTTTGATTACATTGCTACAGTTAGGTAATTTGACCCGATCCACCTGTAGACTTAAGGAAACATGTTTGTACGTGACTGCTGGGGAAAAACAATATTATGCTTAATTAAAGAGGTGACACTTTCTATATTTTTATCTGATATCGAGTTGTAAGAGCCGATTTGCAGTTATATGGGTAAGAGTTCGATAAGACTCCCTACGGTCGTCTTAATACGAACTCTTACCCATACATAATATTTTAGATTTCACTGTTACTTATTAAAGGGACTCCACTGAGGTTTTTTGACATGATGGGGCTGAAAATATTTTTTCCAGATAAAAGTACCATTTGATGTAGGTAAATTAGACCACTAATCTTTGTGCAAAGTTTCAGATCAATTGCGCACTTCGTTTGTCCAGAATAATTATTCAAATTGTACAAAAAAATGACCCAAGAATGAAATTTAAACCTTTTGACATACAATCGGCAATTGAAAGGATTAAAGATAAAATTTTTCTTTTTTTCAGAAAATTTTTACTTATCAACTTTATTACATGATTCTTTTCGGTGGTTACTAGAATTATTTAGTGATTATAAAAAGGTTAATTTCATTTATGAAACATGGAAAATTACACATTTAGATAATTTCACATGTTTTTGAATTTAAAGTTACTATTTCAGTGAAAATAAAGTAAACAGTATGGGAACAATCTTTAATATTACTGCGGGCCGTAAAATGATTTCTCAGTTTTTATATTATTTGGCGACGCAATATTCTTCATTTAGTTAATTTTATTTTTAAAACGTTCTTTTGATCAAAAGTTAAAAAGTGAAAATTTTTTCAGTTTAGTGACATGATTGAAATTAGTTTCACACTTGTGCAAACAACAAGATTGTTTCCATATTTCAATCGTGGCTGCGCCAATCGTGAAATTACCTTTTTGCTCATCGGTGAAAATATATTACGATTTACATTATTAAAATATTCCTCTAATATCTTTGCATATATTTCTGTTTAAAGTGCCCCAGCTCATTTATGTAAGAAATTCAAATGTTATGTTTTTAGGCTTTTCAACCTCAGTGGAGTCCCTTTAACATATTGACTTATAATTTAATATAATTAGAATATGAGAAAAACAAAATTTGGCAAAAAAAAAAAATTATAATAAAATTGCAAAATTGTAATATTTGCTCTTCATAACATACTTCAAAATATATTTGAATTTTTTACATACATGCTTTATTGCTTTATTAAACAGTTTTTTTAATGATAATGAATTATTTAAAGTCTTTTATTACTTTATTTATTTTATTTATTTTTTTTGTGTTATTTTCATTTCATTATGAAATCATGTAATATGAAGTTACTGTACTTTGTTATTATTATTATTATATACCAAACTTTTTAAGCACTTTTTTCATGCACATTAACACATTCAAAAGTACTGTACAGTAGTATAACCAAATAAATGATATAATATTTAAGAAACAAATTAAAACATCAATATTGCTCAAGTCACAAAATCAAATCAAATGTAGTAAAAAATACACACATACAAAAATAAAATACAGGTAAGACTTAAAAAAAAAAAAGTCATCATATGATTTATTTTACATTATACACATTCTTATAAGATAAAAGCAAACCTAGAAAAAAAAATATAGATTTTTTTTGGACAAAATTCACATACAACCTTGAATTAAAATCTATCCAGTATTTGGATATAATTTTATTAGCATTTTTTTTATTGTACAACAGCAACAATTACAACAACAACAATTGATACAAATAAATAAATATGAATAAATCTGTTATTAATATTAAGTAATTATATAACAATTACAATTGTAAGTAACGTACAGCTATTGGTGAATGAAATAATATGAAATATTGATATTATTTTATAGTTCATATTATATGTAACAAATGTCATCATTTTATTGTAAAAAAAAAATTGTATAATTCTATATTATCATTTTCACTCTTGTTATAAATTATTTATAAAATGATTATGAAATAATTTCATATATAGATATTATTTGACATGACAATATTAAAAAAAAAGTAAAAAAAAAGAAGAGGAAAACCATCACATTTTGTTTAGCTTATAGTTAAACAGACTTTTGATTGATATTATAAATTATAATAAAAATTTATTTATAAAATTAATTTATATATTGCTATGGACTAACATGATAATATTGAGGGGAAAAAAAATGTACTGAAAAAAAAACCATCACGTTTCGTTGAAGGGTATTATAAGTAATACTAACATTTCGCCTTTTATTGTTTTATAAACATCGATTTTTTTTTGAAGAAGATAAAAAAAGTCGAAAGCTAAAAGAAAAGCATTTATTGTTATCGTGATTATAAATATATAATAATAATAATATATAAAATACCATCGTTATTATCATTATTTAGGTGCGTAATATTATTTTTGTATATTATTATATAATGATTAACTTACTCACCCAAAGCATGATGGGCGCATTAATTCTTTCCAATTAACACGTTTAATAAACTAGTGTCAAATGAATCTATGTGTTTAACCTTGTATTTATATACGACTGGAAATCTCGGATAAAATATTAATATTATGATTTTTAGCTCATCCATGCAATATAACTAGTAAGATCTTTTTTTACCTGTTTAACTTGGGGAAAAAAATCTGAAAAATCTTAAAAGCCCATCATCGGCTGTGCAAAATATGTTATTTTAAATGGGAACTTCTCATGTTTAATGTCAATAGGGAAGGGTAGACCTCACCTGGTGTCGGCCAATATTTTATTTTTTTACATTTTAATATAAACACAAAATAATTAGGGACTTTATATTTCATTTATTAAATTGTTTCCCAATTAATACTCTGTTTCCAGACTTAAATTGTTGGCTGCTCAATCTAAGATTTCGATCTTTTATTTTGAAAACTTTAAAAAAAAAAAAATATATATAAATAATAAAGTATTTTAAGCTCATTATGAAATTTCAGCAGATATTTATTGCTTATTAAGTTAATGTGAAGATATAACACATGACATTGTTATGGAAATTTTACTGTCTTACTTTTGTTCATATTACTGTTTTGACCACTGTGATTTTATTTCTTCTTTAAATATCAAATTAAAAAAAAATCTTTAATTTACTGCTATGCATGAGGTGAGTGGTAGCCTTGTGGTCAAGGTGTCTGCTTTCAACCCAGGGATAGTGTGTTTAAGCCCGTCAGGGGTTATGACCTTCCTGACTTGTAGATCCAGCATATTATCTGGAGTGTGGTTTAAATAAATTTTCAAGCTTTTGTCACAATCATCCTAAAAATAAAATAATGTTTCAAATTATTCTGAGCTCATTTATATCTCAAATTGAGCTGTAATATGAAGAATGTCACAATTTTCAACGACACAAGAATTATTTTTTATACCATAATACGCTATCTTCTGCTTACAAGTATTTTGATGCACAAATGATCAGTTTATGTCTCTATTCACCAAGTGTAATCAAGCTGCTGGTATTTGTTTATGATTAGGGAGAGCGATATCAAACCTAAATATTTACTTCTTGTAAATGTCTTCAATCAAGTTCATAAATCGCTTTTCACCTTCATTTAAGCTTCTTGTAGTACATTTAAGCTATGTTAAATTATTTAAGCTAGCATGTCCGTCAAATTGTTTTACATATAGGACATGTTTAGTATTCATTCATATCACCAGTAAATGGACATAATATGAGAACAAGATTAAATAGCCAAAAGCAATGTAAAGCAAATAGTTAATAACTCAAGGTTAACCTACTTTAATACTATTGTTTGTCTGCATTTTTTTCTTCTTTTTGATATTTCATCAGCACGAAAAAGTACAGTTTAACATGCCTTTGTTTCTTGGCAGTTAAAGGGAAACTTTCTCAAATTGCAGTTGTTGATCACTTTTATTTGGTGAAAATACAGCAGCACATAGCATGAGGTCAATATAAAATGTACAGATATGGCTGTGACAAACCACCAAACTCTTGAGGGTTCGTGAACTCCTGAAAGAAATTGGATGCAGAAATTTGTCTGTCCTTTTAACGCTTTGAAATTTTATTCCTATAGTAATTATTTGTTGAATTTAAATATTTAATCAAAACATGCATTATCAATAGTATTAATTTGAATTTAATGTTATTTGTAGCATAAAAATGTTATGTCTTAAAGCTAGTAGTATTGCAGTTTATTGAACAATGATTTAAAGATGCTGTATGTTGTAATTGAGGTTGTATACCACACTTAAGTGAAATTATATATATCTATATAATTATGCTTAAAAACAATTTTCAAACTTCAAAGAATATGTGAAATATATGTGAAATATCTACTGCAAATATTTTTACATATTATAATTATGTAATCATTAAAATATATACATTCATTTCTTATTGAAAAATTTGACTTTATGGAAAATAGATTTTTTATTACTGACCTTAATATATTTACATGAAATGTTAAATTCGGTGATTATGATCTTTAAAAATAATGCATTTTGGAACTTACAAAATTGGTAAATCTAAATTTGAGCATCATATTTATGATATAAAACCATAAAAAATTTGATACAGGATCTTTAATTGGAAAAGTACATCCTAATTTGATATTAAATTTCCTCTTAATAGCAATACATGTGTTACTGATTGTAGAGAAAAAAACAAAACATTAGAATATTTAGATATATTATTACATCATACTATACTATATGTTTTTTGATCTACACAGATGTAGATACCTAAAAAAAAAAGCTTGGGTATTCACCTAGGATATGGTGAACATATGACATATGCTAGAGGTCATTTGGTCATGTGTCCTTGAAGCTTGGAACAACTCAACTGGAGAAAGTGCTTGCAGCTTCCAGACTTACATAATGATTGCCTCTTGTCAGCATAGTATCTTTTTTTTGCTAATTTTAAGTTCAAATTGCCAGTGATGTTCCAGTACTGTTTTACAAAGAATTGTTGATTATAATTATTGGTTTACATAATAAATGTATCTTCTTTTTTTCATAATATTTTAGGGTCCACCAAGGCCGGGTTACAGTCCTGGACCAGGTCACCCAACTGCTGGTCCCCCAATGACAGGAGGAATGCCACCTCGCATGGGTATGCCACATGGACCTGGGATGTCTCCGCACCCATATGGAGGTAAATATCTATAAATCGACTCTTTACATAATATTAATTAGCCAACAATTAATGTTATTTTATTACTAATGTAATCAATGCACTAATTGGCAATAATGACTGATCCTTGGCAATATATATTTTGACCTGCTATTCTTACAATGACCAAGGGGAGAGGTGTTCTAGGTGTTAATGTTTCTGCCTCCCAACTAAGGCTCCTTTGTTTACAATTTTTATGCTCCCCTGAGGGTGAGCATATAGTCGTCGCTTTGTCTGTCTGTACCGGCTATTTAAGAGAAGTAGGGAGCCATGTAACTGTAAACAGAACAAAAGAGAACAATAAAGTTCATTCTCTAAGAAAAGAATAAGGGGCCATGGCCCTCTATTAAACAAAAGAAAATAACAAAAGAAATGGCCTCTTAGTCCATTTAAATGGCATGTCCGCCCATCTGCTTTTCTTGTCCGGGACATAACTCTGAAATTATGAGAGGAATCAACATGAAAATTTATAGGTAGATAGATCTCATTGGGTAGAAGTGCAATGCAAAAGAACCATTACTCTGCCTTGCCTAAATTTTGAGTTATTGCCCTTTGTTCATTTTTATACTTTGAACTTTGTCTGGGACATAACTCTAAAACTTATAATAAGAGATATCAGCATGAAATTTTGTAGGTAGATTTGCTCATTAAGTAGATGTGCAGTGCATAAGAACCATAACTGCCTTGCCTAACTTTGGAGTTATGGCCCTTTGTCTATTTTTTCACTTTGAACATTGTCTAGGACATAGGTCTGAAAGTATAATAGATATTAATCAGACTTTTTGTAGGTTGATAGATCTCTTGGGTAGATGTGCAATGCACAAGAACCTTAATTCTGCCTTGACTACTTTTTGAGTTATTGACCTTTAATCATATTTACATTTTGAACTTTGTCATGGATATAACTCTGGTGACAGTCTATAAGAGATATGAAGAAGAAACTTTGTAGGTAGATAGATATCATTGGGTAGATGAGCAGTGCAAAGAACAGTAACTCTTTCTTACTTAAGTTTGGAATTAGTGCACTTTGAACTTTGTCCAGGACATAACTCTGAAACTATAAGAGGTATACTTTTCTGTGTTCAGAACATATTCGGGGAGCATCACCCGGTTCAAATAGACTATTTTGACTAATTACATAGTTATTGCCCTTTGTTAGTTTTTTGTCCAGTGCATTACTTGAAAACATATTGTTGGAATTCATTGCAACTACATACAATGGTCAAGCACAGTGAGATAAAGTGCAATGCACAAGAAACACTATTTGGACTAATTACATAGTTATTGCCCTTTGTTCCTTTTCCTTGTCTGTTGCATAACTGAAAAACTAATGTAATGAATTTAATGCAACTTCATACAATGGTCAGGCACAATGAGAGGAAGTGCAGTGCTTCAGAACTGTAGCTCTATCTGGACTTATTACGGAGTTGTTCAATAAAACTTAATCAGTGGTCAACCACAGTGAAAGGAAATGCAACGTACAGATTTAATTGTCCACAACCATAACTTTTACAAGGTATTCTGTAACTAGTAACTTCCTCTTTCCTGAAGCAGTTTTGCAGGGGTATTAATCACTTATAGTGATTGCTCTAGTTGATATACCTTTAATCAACTTTGTTGTTTTTAATCAAGAAATAAATTTATTGTAATAAGATCCAATATTTCATCATTACCTTAAGGTAACTTCTATATATTGCTACTCCTTCAATTACTAAAACAAGGCTTTTTGTCAAATATGATAGACAATTTGAAATAAGAGGTGGGGGTGTTGGTTATAGAATAGATAAAGGACTTAACAGATGAATTTGAAGGAAACCTAAATTTGACCATAAAAATCCATAAATCCAATGTCAGCTTTTAATACGTGGGTTGATAAATAAATACATGATACATAGCTACTCTACTATATGGACAACAGACAATCTTGAATATAGTTTCTGTCCTCTGTTTTACACAAGATTGTAAAATATTTGGGTATATCGGTTTACATCAATGGAAGAATGTGTGACACTAATGTTGAACTTCATGCTTCTCCTTTGTACAATAAATGTAACACTAACTCCTGGAACGAAGCCAATGTGCTAAATTTAGCTACTACTATTTTACGTTTTGTACTTTTATATTTTTTAAAGCAACTCTTCTATGGTTTATTAGAGAAAAATTTTTATTTTAAATTTTCAATCTTTTCCAGATTTTTCATTGAGATCATAGAGCAGAAATTATGATAAGTGTATATTATGTTGAGGAAAATCAAAGTTTCTTCTTGCCGCCCACACTTTTTAAAAGCTATAAGCTTATTTCTAGGACTTGGCATTAGTTTCTGTATTATTAATATGCAGTAATTAAGTTAAAGCCTTAAAGAAGATATTTGATTCCTTCTTGTGTAATTTTTCTCCTTTTTGGTAATCTTGATGCCGTTTGCCTTATTGACTCCTGACGGCTTCTGTCCCATTTCGTCCCCACTAGTAATGAATGCTCCACTTACCTACATTTTCTATTTACCTTAGGTAAATATTTACTAGTGTCTATTTTCAAGGGTGCTTGTCATTCTGTAAATGCAATTTGAACATTCGTTATAAATTACAGCGCAATACTAGATATAATAGTGCAATCGTTGAAATGCTAGTATGGCCTAGTTTCTGGACATCCTAACAGATTTGAAATGACCTTGTATGATGAAACATGTGTACACAAAAACTATACTAGACAAAGTTTAATTCAAGATAAAATAAAGTTTTAAGTCGGTCGGTTAAAGTTCTTGCCAACTTTTATTTTATAAATATATTTATATATTTAAATAATTATGTTAGTTTTGGTATTGCCTGTCATCTTGTTCTCAAATCATGCAAATCATGCAACCCTAATAATCAAATATTGTGGAGATTTATCATGTATGACTGTTATATACTGTACAGAATCAGGAAACATTCTCATCTTATCAGGATAACATGGCACACAAGTATTTACCCTGAGACCTGTTATAATATCTGTATACAATATACTGGAATGTTAATATGGATTATACATAATCTTATTTCATTTTTTTTTCTGTGATTACCAAGAAAATCGGGTTGTATTTTAATCTAATATTATTAAAGATACCATAAGTTCAATCTATGGTACTTAATAATGTATAATGTAGAAAGTAATGGATAAAGATTATATTGTATAAAATAACCTTATAAAATGACATTTTTTACGCAGTTTACCTAAAAGTACAGTGTTTTTTGTTAAATTGGCCCTGTTACAGACCAACTTGTTTGACAAGATTTTGTCCTCTGGGTCATGTTTTTAGGTCTAGGTGATCAAAGATGCAATATGGGGGTAATGAAAATTAAAAGCAATCCTAGAACATGTCAAGATATGTTTATATAATTTACTAGGGTCACCTTGAAACAAAACAATGTAGTTATAAGTTGTAAGAATGTAATAGGGGAGTTTGTCTGTATAAGGTAACACAACACTAAAATATAAAAGCCTAATAGGGGACAGTGACACAAAATTTGACTTAGTTTGTATAAGGTTGTATGACAGTGTAAATGGGGACACCAGATAAAGGTTCATCTGTATCAGGTTATACAAGACTAAATTATGAAAGGTGTAATTGGGGACCACTTTTGAGAGTTCATCTGTGCTAGGTTATACAACACTTAAATTTAAGAGTGTGACAGATGAAATCAGATAAAGGTTCATCTGTATTAGGTTGTACAACACTAATTTATGAATAGTGTTATAGAGGACAGCATATGAAAGTTCATCAGTATTGGGTTATGCAAAATTAAATATAAAAGGGTAAAATAAAGGGTTAATCTGTATAAGGTAATGCAACCCTTTAAGTTGTAAAGGAGTTTTTAGCTCACCTGAGCAATGCTCAGGGTGAGCTATTGTGATCGCCCTGTGTCCGTCGTCCGTCGTCGTGCGTCGTCAACTTTTCACATAAACAACATCTCCTCTGAAACCAATGACTGCACATCAACCAAACTTTACAGAAATGATCCTTGGGTGGTCCCCTTTCAAAGTTGTTCAAATGGTTCCGGTCTGTTGCATATGTAGGTCACAGGGCCAGAAAAGGATTTCAAAAAACACAAAATTAAAAAATCTTCTTGTCTGAAAGTACATGGGCCAGAGCTTTGATTTTTGGTATATGGTATCATCTATGGGTCCTCTACCAAAGTTGTTCAAATTTTGTCCCTAGTGTCAAAATTGGCCCCGCCCCGGGGGGTCATAGGTTTTTCCTTATATGTCTATAGGTAAATCTAAAAAAATCTTCTTCTCTGATTTGGCAAAGGCTACAGATTAGATATTTGGCATGAAACATTGTGTAGTAGACCTCTATCAAGATTGTTCAAATAATGGCCCTAGGGTCAAAATTGGCCCCGCCCTGGGGGGTCATTGATTTTCATTACATACATATAGTGAAAACTTGAAAAATCTTCTGGTCTGAAACTAAATGGCCTAGAGCTTTGATTTTTAGCTCGACTATTCGCAGAATAATCGAGCTAATGCAGTCACCCATTTGTCGGCGTCGGCGTCCCTGTGGTTAAGTTTTTGTATGTAAGCTGGTATCTCTATAACTACTGAAGGGAATGGATTGAAACTTCACACACTTGTTCTCTGTGATTATCTAAGATGATTGGCACAAGTCCCATAACTCTGATTTGCTTTTTTTCATAATTATGCCCCTTTTTCAACTTAGAAATTCTTGGTTAAGTTTTTGTATGTAAGCTGGTATCTCCTTAACTACTGAAGGGAATGGATTGAAACTTCACACACTTGTTCTCTGTGATTATCTAAGATGATTAGCACAAGTCCCATAACTCTGATTTGCTTTTTTACATAATTGTGCCCCTTTTTCGACTTAGAAATTCTTGGTTAAGTTTTTGCGTGTAAGCTGGTATCTCCATAACTACTGAAGGGAATGGATTGAAACTTCACACACTTGTTCTCTGTGATTATCTAAGATAATTGGCACAAGTCCCATA